AAACACTGAGGTTCACGAGTCTAAGCTATTAATTCTTCTTATAGCAGTGTAATGAGAGGAGCAAACTCAGCCTCCTGCACCTACAAGCATCACCTTAAATGAGGAGATAAAAACCAGTCCAAACTGACTTAGGGTGGAGTTAAGACATGGACATCTACCTTCTAAATCTTCTCTTTGTAATCTTTCAGACACCTTTGGCCTCTGAAAGATCTCACCCTGACAACCAACCAGGTAAGAAATAACTCGAAGAGCTAGCTTTGGTGTGTGGTGAGATGGCACTGGGGCTACGTGTTGGTGCTGGATAATGATGGAGCTTCACCTAAGTAACCACAGGGCAGACTATACTCAGAAATCAGGGCTACATGGCATGTGTTGATTAGTTACGATCTGTAGCTGCTGCATATGAGTTTCCATGGATTGGGAATATGAGCTTTGTAATGCTCTGCTCGGGGATGTTTCTCTGTTCAGAGTGGCACTGTAGACATCGAAGTGTGTTCAGAGTGGCACTGTCTACAACAGCTTTATTTTGCCCTCCTTTGTGGGCAGCAAACATGCTTATTTTGGATCCATCGCTGAGGAACCACGTGGTGGCTCTCGGAGGGATGCTCTTACAGAGGCACAACTCTTTGTCTCCCTTTCAGAGGCGGTCCCTTATCAAAGACAAGTGTTTCCTGTCTGCCACAGAGTGTTTGCAGAAGCTGATGTAAGTCACGGTCCATAACCTCTGACTGACAACGAAGGATTTTTCTGTTTTCTGGGAAATGCCATCAATTTACACCTGTTTACAAAAGCATTTCTGGGTCAGCCTGCAAGATTATTTAAAGAAAAGTTGTTTGTGATATCATTTCTGTTTAAAAGATAAAGTAACTTCTATAGAATTTCTTTTTTTTCCCCCCTCAAAAAATACCAAGACAATATCAATCGTGTTTAAACACAACCCTCCCCTGGCTAATATCTCCCTTCAATTTTGTGGAGATATTCCTACACAAAATCTGATTTTGATGAAATGGAGGGCACTCGTATCGGTGTGCATAGCAACTTGGGCCTGGCTGTGACTGCCTGGTCATGAGAGAGCCCATTGCTCTGGACACATGGAGCTCCATGAGGGTTATCCATCCAGTGTGGCAGCCCAAGATGTTAATGTAGCAAAGCAGAGCTCAATTTAAGAAGCTCAGCTTGATTTAGTGGCTTGAAGTCCACCCTAGGGGATGGTACTGCAGTAATGAGTGGGAAGGAGGTTAAAAGGGGAGCAGGGAAGTGTTGTGAGATCCATCAGGCAGGAGCACTCAGGTCCCCAAGTACACTAGTCCTGGTGAGAGCTTCCCAGCCGATGTGACTTCTCTTCTGGGGAAGGCAGCACAGGCTACGTGTACCTTTGCAGGACATTCCGGGCAGAAAAAACAACCTTATAAATGCGACAACTGTTACGAGTCCCTTGATAGAACTGCCCAAAGTGATTCGTCCCATGCTCTTTAGCTTTTATTTGAGGGACTATCACTTAGGTTAGTCTTGTCTAAAATGAAAGGCTGACTAGGGTGAGCAGGTCATACTCAGGACTTGGGAAGACTCAAGGTCCATCTGGATGATGTTACACCCTGGTGATGCCTCCTGGCACAACCTTCTTGACTCCTTTTTGGTGCAGCCATTTGAGATGTTTAATGGACTTTTTTTTTTTTTTTGTAGCATGACAGTCTGCTCTGTGTGTTTTGTGTGTGTTTTTTTTTTGTTTTTTTGTTTTTTTGTTTTTTTTTTCTCTCGTTCTGCTGCTTTATCTCTTTAGCTGTGCAGTGGAAGCATCTTTGACATGGCTGTTTTCATACTGACAGTACCACAGTGGATCCCCGAGAAAAGCTGTTGATCCTCCAGAAGACATATGAGGAGATAGAGAGCACAGTGTCCCGGGTGGCAGAGAAGGACTACAGGCTCCCCATGGATGACCTGTTGCCCCTACTGATGTATGTTGTATCCCGAGCAAAGTAAGTGGAAGCTTTTCATTTCCCAGTCCTGTTGTTGTGTGATACTTCAACCAGAGAAAGGATAGCCAAATAGTTTAAATGAAAAAGTGGGCTTTGTGTTTTAACATGTATTTTCCTGAGCTCTATTGGGGTTTCTGTGTGCTACTGTCTACCAGCTGTGGTGTTGGCCATGATATAAAGTGGCTAGGGACTTCCTGAGTGTCCATCTCTTACCCGAGAGGAAAATTCACGGTTTTCATGGGAAATGAGGTCTTACCTGCATCCGAGATTACTGTAGAAAACAGGAACATGAAGCCTTTGAGGGCCGATTGTTGATGTATATCATACATCTTCTGTTTTCCATTCTCAGTGGGGCACTGTGATTCAGTTTGGCGACCAGGAAGCTTTTGAACACTGACTACCTAGTAATTAGACTTTTCCTGTGTAGGAATGACTGTAAATGTAACACACTTCTGCCAGAGAGGCTCCATCTGTGCTGCTTTCACTGTAACTGCAGGAACCTGCTTACATCCAGTAGCATGAAACTGTACTATTTTTTCCTGGCAAACTTGACTCAAAATCCTTGACTGGATGCCTGGATATGTTTGGTCTCCAAAAAAGGGTGAAATGTTTAAACTTGGGGCCATGAAATCCAGAAGTTTTTTTTTTTTCCTTTGTTTTTATTCTTTTTCTTCTTCTGCGGTCTTGTTGGATGATGCAGGTTTGCTTGCTAGACAGCTTCTTCTACTGTAGATGAGAGAGGAGGGGAATAAGAGTCACCATGGAAAATGGAGGAGTTGACATTTTTATTATGATTGAGCATCTTTGCTGAGATCCAGTCATGCTGGATACGTCAAGGACTCAGCCCCCAGAAGCTCAAGGTGATGCACAAGGAATCAGCAGTGGACTTCCAGATCTGTGCCTCCTTCTCTCCATAATCTGATTTCAAACACACGCCTACAAACACCGCTGCCCAGAGATTTGGTCTAGTTGTGACCTTTTTTTTTTTTTTTTTTTTTAATTATTTTCCTAGAATCCAGCACCTGGGAGCTGAAATTCATCTGATCAGAGACTTGATGGACCCCGCCAATCGAGGAGGACTGTACGACTTTCTGTTAACAGCACTGGAGGTAAGGAAATGATTTCAACAGTGACCAGCTGCAAGTTGTAGTAGCCTTTCTGGAACAGTGGTGATCCTGATGGGCTACATCCTTTTTTAATTAAAGAGGGCTGTTTATATGCCCAGCACAGGAGGTTATTTTCCTTCTAGTCTAGAGAATTATGCTCATTGTTCATGTAATCAGATTTCATCCTGCTTTTGGGGGCAGTATGGCTTTGGTTTGTGTGCAAGAGACCAGATTTTAGCCCAAAGTTCCCAAACTTCTCCTTAATGGCTTGCTCTCTTCCTTGCCCAGTCATGCTACGAACACATACAGAGGATGAGACTCCACCAAAGAGAGAACTGCCATGTAACTCACAGCTCCTGAGCCCGAGGACCTGAAGGGAGCCTCCTCCCTGCTGCACTTTCTTGACCAAACACTGTTGGATGAAGAAGCAATCACGTCACTGCTGTTCTGGTTGACTTTAAAAAGGGAAGAATGGTCATTTATTAACGTGAGGGTTTCTTGCTGAGTTTTTTTTTAGACTAGCTACGATCGTAAAGCACAGACACATGGATGCTGTGGGCTAAAAGGGTTCAGTACACAACCTCAGCTTGTGTTTGGGAATCTCGGTGGAAAGTGGCCAAGGTTTCTTTAGCTCTGTAGTTTTATTTCACTTCCCCCGCAAACAGCAATCTGCCTTGTAACCTTGTTTAACTGTTCTCTCAGACGCTGCGTTTGTTTTGCACTGGTGAACTGACATAAGGGAGGTTATTCTTATAGAAAGCGGTCAAATTGAAACCACAAGAACTATTTTGGTGAGATTATTTCTGGTCGGCCGAAGTGTGGCAGGGACAGGGGAGGCCAGCTCCGTGCTCCTAAACAACCTATTCCTGGAGTGAGGTGGCTTTTCCTGCATCCCTAAGAGGAAGCTTTTTCCTTTCCGCTCCCTACCTATGCCAAACTCTGTACCTCTCCATTGCATTGTAAAGCTGCTATTGAGTAACTTCTTGTTTTATGATACTTAACAAGTGTATATTTATACTCTGCAGACTCCTGTTAAATCTCAGGGATATCACACTTGCACCTTGAACGTGCTAGTGCTGCTTTGTAATTCTGCAGGGGTTCCTGTATGCCCCAAAGGATGGGCATACGTTGTCATGGGGTGAGAAATCTCAAATCCTGGTGAGAAAAGAACATAAAACCACCTGGCTTTCTGCACTGAAAGAGCTGCAAAAACACTGGTTTTTCCAAGGTGCACAGCTTTATGCTGACAGACCACCCACTGATGCCAGTGGGGTACAAATCAGATTAGAATTGGGCTGGGCTTTATGCTGCCTTTATAAAAGGCAAATGGATATTTGGTATCTTATTCCTATCAGACAAAAATAATAATGTCTGAGTTGCACATTTAGAGCAAAAGCTCTTTTGAACTAGATTTTAATCTGCTCCTTTTTTACAGTTTGACTTTAAATTGGCCAGGTCTGCAGCTTCAGGAAAGTAAAACAAAACTCTACAGGCTGTTTCCTCTTGTTTATCACAAGTATTATGCTTTAATAAATAGTACACTGATTACAATAGTTAATATATTGGTATGAGAGTATCCTAATGTATGTTTTACAGTAACTTTGTTTTTAAATAAAGCTGTTTAATTTTTAAGAGAGATTCCAGGCTTGCATACTTCTTATTCCGATCTTCTTGTTGTCTTCAGTCATTTGAGAATTTGCTTTCCTCTCTTTAACTTTAGAAAATATGTGGCTCCCTTACTGCTTTGATCACTCCTAGGAAAGGAGAATTTGAACTACAAATTAGTTTCCTAATGTTAGCGTAAGAGAGACTGGATCAATAAAGCTAATTTTTCTGTTTCTGTTCCCTGCTCAGTAAGGAGAGCATGGCTTAAATTATAAGATAATTTCCTGCGATTAAACTGCTTTTTTTTTTTAATCCTATTGTTTTGCACTGATCACACTAAGCCTTAGCAGGCCTTATGAAGGAGGGCTGCTACACACCTTCAGAGCTGAAGATACTGTGGTGAAGAGAGAGTACTTGAGACCCACTTTCCTTCACCTGAACACCTCTTTAGCCACCCTAGCGTGCTGGCCTGACCTCTTCCTTCCTTAACTACATTCTACAGGGAAGAGGAACAAACTGCAGGAATGATGCCTCTTCCCTGAGAGCTGCTGCCTGGATTTTTGCATCACAGCGAACCCAGGCCATCCATTTAACTGAGGATGTAGCCTGCCAGGCAGTAGCGTGTCCAAACTGATCCCAGGTACATTGAGATAATGGGTTCTTGGTGTAAAAGCTAGACTCGTATTTTTGCTGGTTTCACACAGCAAAACCAAGCAGTTCCAGCTTCCTGGGACATGAAATGAAAAATACTGTTGACCTAAGCAAGCCCTTTATAAAATTGCAGTGCTTAAAGTGGTTGGTGCCAATACCAGTTGCACAGCATGCAGTGAGACTGGGGAACACAAGACCAAAACCATCCTTTCTCACCAATACACTGATTGTCAGCTTTAAACCACTGTTCCTCACCTCTGTGAAATCTCACCTTATTCACCTAAGGAAGCTCCAGCTGCCTGTCTGAAAATGTAAACAGCCATAAGTAACAGCGGCGAACTTCTAATTTCAAGGTTGCTTAAAAATGGCAGTTTTCCAGTCTAAAGAAACACTCTGCCAGGAGGTTGAATCACTGAGATGTAGTTACAGCTGTTTTTTTCTTTTTAAAAAGTCTGTTTTCTCCATACTGCATTCCTCCATGCTCTAGGTATTGATTTTAACTTCAGGTGCCACTTCCTACTCAAAATGCAGAACTTCTACCAGAAAACAGGACATGTAAATTTCATGCATGTACAAACTCCATAGGATTATCTAGAAAACAAGGTGATTTCTCAGCCTACTGAAGATTTCTACTATTGCACTTTCTAAACTTGTTAATTGCTCTTACTGGACAGCTGGTTGAAAATTGAGGAGGTTCTTGAGCTATAATTCAAGTGAGCCCTAAAGGGGCAACTAAGGTAACAGTGTGCAGCCATTTGTGCTTCTAGGCTTTCTCACCAACCAGTAAAAGCAAGAGGTGTGCTTCACTGGAAATACTTTTAGCGCAAGGGTAGCATTCAGGTTGCAAATTGTGCTGTGTAACCATGCAGTAGTGCTATTTGGTGTTTTAACAGCATGGCTTTTTTAGGAGATAATACGAGGCTACTTGCTAGCTTCCCTGATTAATCAAATCTCTGCTTGATAGAATACTGTGCCTTGAAATAGTGTGTAGAAATGTGAGAGTACATTCAAGTTCCTCTTTTTGAGCACGGGTGGATCACATGCTTAAATTACTGGTGGCAGATTTGCTATCTGCACTGATTTGCAATCAGGACTCCATCTTAATGATTATTTTGTTAAATTCAATCCTGAAGGATGCAGGCTGACCCTACCTGAGTCTTTCAGCTTTTGAGAGAGAGATACTGCTGTACAGGACAATAGTACAGTCAGCTCTTCCCTGTGCAGGCTACAGCTGTTGAGCCAGCTCAGGCTTCAACAGAAGCTAACTCCCATCCCTTAAAAAAAGGAAAAGAAAAGCTGAGCTGCACCTGGAAGCAGGACAGGCCTTCAAGTAATTTAACTGTGACCAGATAAAGCAGAGCTTAACTGCTGGAGTCTGCAGTGCAGGTTTGCCGTCTGTATCCAGTGCTCTCAGAAGCAGGGGGTGGGGTAGGGTGCAGACCACTGCAATCTCAGCGTTTAGCCCTGAGAGACCTAAGCGTGATCCACAGAATTTTCTGTTCCCCTTCCCCGAATGCAAACTCACCAGCAGGGCTCGTAAGATTATTCTAACATGATTTGGGTTTTTCCTTTGTCTGAGATTTTTTTTTTTTCCTATCCAATTACTCTCGATACTCAAATGCTGTCAATTTAAAAAGCATTCAGTCTTCTCATGAACGTACTCCCTCCTCGCTCTATTTTAAGGCTCTTTGTTCTTAAACTGCAACAGCTGTTAAACACGGAGGAGTCAGTCTTCTACAAACACCCATTTTGCAAAAGGTTCATTTTACAAAGAACTGAATAAACAGGAAGTTAGAGTAGCGCTGTATCTATTGCTGCTTTCAAGTGGTGGAGCAATGCCTCCGGAGGTGGAGAAAGTGATGTCAGGTCTAGTTTCTTGAAATCTTCATTAGCACTCAATGATGTTAACACCTTCACAGTCCTCTTTAAATCAAACACTGCGTGGAGCATGCCCAAGGTGGAAATGGCAGCTTTTGGAGTGTTCTTTGCCGAAGCTTCGTCATCGAGGCCGTTTTCCAAGACAGAAATCCTATTCTCTGCAATAACTTTGAGGAAGTTGTAGAACTCCTTGTAGTCTATACCCGTGCAAGACTTCATGATCAACTAGGGGAAAAACAAACAGCACTGAAATGGAAACTACTCTCTTATTTACAGTAAGAATTACAAAAATATATTTTATCGACCTAGCAACTATCTGGAATCCTGAGTAACCATGTTTAATCGTATTTTTTGTAATTCCTTAATGGCACTAAAATACTTTACCTTACTTGAAATGCCATTAGCCTCAAAAGCAACAGGGTTTCTTCCAAGTACGAAATGGCTGTGTGTGTTGAAACTATTTTTGAAGCATATCAACCCAGCAGCAGTAACAGCCTCCAGAAATAAGCTTTACATTTGTTTCATGCTTAAGATTTTGGAAGCATACAAGATACAACAGCACTCCATATAGTTCCGTGTTCTGAAAGCATCACTTTGCAGACACAGAAACCTGCTGCCACCTTCACCTGAATTTTGCTTGTTTCTCATTCATGGTTTTGTCACAAACGGCCTTCAAACCAGTTCTTCTGTGTCTTATCAGTTCTGTTTACAGGAAAAAGCACTTATATTTTATAAAGGATTGATCTTGATGCTAATAGCTGACCCTGATATTTGAAGAAGAGCAGTTGAAACATTAGTTTTTCAGACAACATGCTCACCTCCTTGACATAGCAAACATGCACTGGCACAAGCCTTTCCTTGTCTTCCTAAAGTAATATTTGATTTCCTGCAAAATGAAGTTGTCACCAGTTCCTACTTCCTAATGAAACATGTACTGATTTGAGGTATGAGGTTAAGGACTTTTGTGTCTCAGAGCTCTATTAAGGTGGTACATCCCTGAAATATATGATCCTCTAGCAGAGTCAGGCAACCTGCATCGTGGTGTTATACCTGGCATTGTAGGTGCCAATCATCCAGAGGGTCTTTCCATTCATTGATTTCCCGCTGGACAGCAGCTAATTCATCCTGCAGGAAGCACCACATTATAGCCACATTGCAGCCATTCACCCAGTTGTGGTTAACGGAAATGGTATCCTCCTGAAGGAGTAATTTAAACGGTTATTAGGCTCTAGGTGGGAAAGTGCAAGAAAACAGCTGTAACATCACTGATGCTGCAAAATGTAAAATCATATTCCTCGGCAAAAGAAAAGCTTCTTTGACACCAATACCACCACTGTGCTGAAAGGCTGTCTCTAATGTCCCTGAACAACCCAATTTTGTTTCACTCTGGAAACCGGCAAATGTTTTTAGCCGCCCCTCTGCCTGAGCACACCTTTTAAGAGCGCAAAGGTGGGAGAAAGTAGCAGGGAGAAAGGAACAAGGTCGCTAATTTTGGTTTGTAATCACGGAGACCAATTTGTCAGAGTTTTCCATTATTAAATTACAGTTAGAAACCAAGACTAACAGCCTTGCCATGAGTCCCGCTCACCTAGCATCCTATTTCTCAGCAACTAGCAGCATCTAATGATGAAAAGTGTAAGAAAAGAGGGTGCAGACAGCTTCTGCCATTGTACACTCTCCTCGTTTCTAGTGGTCAATGACTCACAGGGCTTGCAAGTTCAGGCTTGCTTTTAGCCATCACCTTGAGCAAACACTGATAGATCTCTCGCCCACGAATCTCTCTTAGATTTTTGCAGCCCAGTTAGACTTTTGGCATCCACAACATGCTGTGGCAACAAAAGTTTGATCTGATTCAAGCCTGTGCCTGATTATCTCAGCGATTAAAAGGTTGGTATCAGTTACCTTACCAGATTGTAAACTTGATGGTGCCATCCACTGGGGATGAAGACTATCTCCCCTGCTTCCTGCACTATTTCAACAGGGGGTTGACTTTGGTTGTAGCGAGGGTAAACTCTCCTGTCCTGAAGACTAGGTGCAGTCACATCGAAGGGCAAGTTGCCATGGTGGTCTTTCAGGTACTCCTCCTGGCCCGCGGGGTACAACAGCCATTTCTTCCTCCCACATATATTGGCTGACCAGCTATAGGAACGGAAAACATCAGCATGGAATGGAGTCCTGTGGAGCAAATCAGAGGTTTAAGTAAAGACAACACCTAGAAGCTGTAAGATGAATTAAAGTCTCTGAGAATCAGCCATACACACAGAAATCAGGCTTTACTATGCAAACCTGATCCCAAACTGTCATCCTCTTAATTTATTTTTGACTGCTTTAAATATGAAAAGGCCACTATATCTACATAGCATCGCCCTGCTTTATGGCCTCTGTGCTTCTCCATCATTTAGTTTGGAATCTGTCCCACAAACACCTCAATGGCAGGACATTTTGTGGTGTGAACTGATGAGAACACTGCAGCTGCAACCTTATCACCAACGCCGGACTTAAAATTTTCACCTGCAAAATATTTGATCAACTCATCAGCGCCCCTCCGAGGCTCCTGTTGACTCTGCAAATCTGATGATCACCTGGGAGTTTCTGCTCTAAAATGTTGTATAATCGAGCCGACAATTTTTGCAGATTTTGCATGCACAATTCAGGGCTTTTTGAAGTGTGAAAGCACTTCAGCTGGCTGCATAAGGAGAGCTCACATCCGGAACCAAATAAACTGGAGACACAAGACTGGCTGGGTTCAGGTATACCAATATACAGTATGGCCACACTGACTCTGCAGCATGATGTTATCCTGAAGGACAACGTGACAATCCACTTTAATATTAATCTTAAAAACCCCACACTATCTTACCATGAACCTTTAGGTCCCATGTAGACAAACCGGTAATCATCCACAGCTAGAGCATCCCAGTATTCATTCAGCCAGTCGGATGAGAAATACACAGGGGTTGTGTAAACATCTTGCTCGGGGAAAGCTCTTAAAAAGATAATGTGTTGGAAACGGGTCTCAGAAAAATGCAACGTTGCTCCTTCTACCTCAGTTTCCAAAACCCTGATGCAAACACCAATCAGGTCTCTAGCAGGCCATTAAAACTTAGCTGCCATCTCCTTCATATCGTTGACAACTCTGAGCTATACATAAGACACACACAGTAGTGCTTTTCTTGTGCTTTCACAGGAAAGCTGTGAAGGTTAACTGCTATTTGGGAGACCCTTTCTAATTATGGCTAATTCAGCTCCTAATAAACACGTTCTCTTTAGATAAGATGCCTGCAAGACTGACTATCCAACTGGACGGGGGTGTGGGGGTTCAAAGGGAAGCCAGGCTGTGGGATTTTGACAAATGTGTGGCCTTCTCCCATAGGATATGCTGTCCTTTCCCCATCCCAAGCTGTGTCTGCAGACTTTCTGTATCAAGCCACAGCACTGGTGTCTGGGAAAGCAATCAGGGAGGCAGAAGCTGACAAATTTCCTCTACTGAATGTCACTGTCACACTCAAAAATGAAAACAAGACCTGATCACAAGAAAGTTGGATTAAGAGCAGGATACGTTTAGGAAAGAAGAGATTTGAGTGAAAAAACATAAAAGTCCTACACAGACATGGGGAATGGACAATGTATCCACCTCACAAGCAGCAGGCTGGAGGAGTAGATAAGCCAGAACAGGGTGAAGACAACTTTAGTGACTTGGAATGTTAACTGAAAGGAAAGTGGATAATAAAGGATTATAACACACACATGCTCGCTGAATTAAACATAATTAGAAACGTCCCCCTTCTTTTTAAGAAGTAAGGCTTGTGCTACAGCAAACAAAAGCCAAATGTTCCAGCCACATGGTTTCCCCAGGAATAACATACAGTCATTTAAAACGTAGATGGAAAAGGAAAGAGCTCAGGAATGTCAACTTCTTCGGGAAACAATGACCTGCTCAAGGATCTTGTCGGGTGAAGTACCCCAAGAACAGTGCAGTGTATTTTGATATTCTGGTGGACAGGTGCTAACAAACAGTTCTTTGCTGGGTACAACATGCAGGGGTTTGCACAGTGCTCTCTTACCTGCTCAGGTGCCAGTCCTTTAGGTAAAGGCACCCTCGGGATGAACGGTAGCCATTTTTAATGTACTCTTTCCAGTAGCTTACATACTCCTTGAAGGGGAGCTGCTCCTTCGGATTAGAATTGTACTCCTTGACATCACAGTTGGCAACAGGTACTACAGCCTCTCCTGAAATATAAAACCTTTGAGCCCAGGTGGGGACAGAATAACTGATACTGAAACTGAACTCCCTTAACTTTATCCACTGCAGCGGCCTCTGATATCGGGGGCCTACCATGCCAAGCACAGTACAAACACAAAAAGCAACAATCCCTAGCCCAGCTCCTACTCCCAACACCATCATTCCAGGCAAACATGAATCTGACTAGAAGTTATTTATTTAATGTGACCTGAATTTTCCATCTTAATCTACATCAGGAGTGGGATATTGATTCCTATTAAATATAGTAAGATTTTACAGCCTGAAGAGATATTTCACTGCAACTACCGAATACCTTCCCCTTGCCTGAGGAAAGCTGCTCCTCTGCTTAATGTTAAGCAGATATATACATTGGTATGGTTAAGTTATACAACGCTTTTTTATTTCATTGTGGGAATAAATTTGAGATTGGAATTTGCAAAACATCAAGTGTAAGCAAGTATAGAAAATGGAACGTATTAACTTAGAAAAAAGTCTGAAGAATTGCTTGGTTTTGTCTAGTGGTTCTATTCCTAAGATTAAAAAAAGAGCTGTGTCATTTAGCATACAAGTTTTAACTGGGTATAAAAAATACCATGACTTACCAAACTTCTGCAGCAGGTGATCAAAGTTAGGTTTTCCATCCCAAGTAACCCAATTTCTCCTGCTGCCCCAGTCTTCAGTGAATTTAGCTGAGAAAATACAGGGATGGTTGGGAATCAAATAATCCCGGAAAAAGTCTGAGTAAGTGAATGAGTCTACTCTTTCAATAAAGTCAACGTGTCCTCCTGGGAGGCAGAACGCACCCTGAGATGGACTGTTGTAGTCACGAAAAAAGGCAGTGGAACAGGCAAATGTTGCCCTGTCCATGCAGGCTGGATACCTTTCCTGGCTTAGCCAAGACAGTGCTGGCCAGATGCTACCCCATCACGCTATGGCAAAAAAAAAAAACCTGCTTTAAAATGTGACTCGAGTCTCTAAATCCATGAAAACTCACAGGGAAACATAAACAGCCAGAGGTAAAACAAGAAGTCGGGCAGGTGCATCCCACCACATTGGGCTAACGAGGATCTTCCATAGTTTATAAAACTTAACGTTGGTGGGATATCTGATAACAAAGTCACACAACGGATGAAGATGTGGCTTCTTCCTCCTTGCCAGGGTGATCACGCTCTCTGGGGATGACCAACGAAGGCTGGTTCCTTCCTAAAACAGCAGAAACATTAATTTCAGTGGGATATGCATGCTAAATGAATTAACTGCAGTGAGGAAGGAAACTCCCTAAATATTTGGGGCCCAGGGAAACTGCTGCAGCTCAGCAACTGTACTGGAGCTCAACCATTTGTCAGGAGAAGATATAAACACTGGCACCCCTCCCACCCTCTCAAGATCTTTCTCTATAGGCCAGACAGCAATTACAAGTTTGTTTTGTTTTGTTTTGTTTTTAAAAAAAGAGGTACATAATAGTGAATAAAAGGGAGGTGTCTGGGAAGGCGGGAGAGAGGGGCCCCGAGGGCAAATGAGGCCACATACCCTGCAGGGATGGGCTTCAGGAGAGGGGAGACACCGGGGGCGTAGGGGAGCCCCGGGTGCTGAGGGGGGAGAAAAGGGGCCGCCATGAGGCGGTTCGCCCCTCACGGAGCTCCTGGGGGGACCCGGACGCTACAGGGCGTCGCACACGCCGTCCCCGCGCTCGACTCTGCGGTTCGCCCGCGCACCCGCGTCCACGCCGAAGCTGAGGGGACAGCGTGGGGGGTGGGGGGGGAGTGGGCGATACTCACCCCCGCTCCCCCCGCGGGGCAGGACCCCGGGGCGAGCGGCGGGGATGGGGCCAGGACCAGGCTTCCCGCGGCCGCCCCCGGAACCTTCAGCGCTCGGCGGGCGGGACCCGGAGAGGGTGGGGGGGTGGGGGGGGACGGGACGAGAAGGGCAGCGCACCGGCGCACGGGTCAGCCAATAGGAGCGGGCGGCAGGCGCAGGCGCAGAGCGTCGATGCGGGGGTCGGCGCGGGGCTTCGCTCAGGGAGGTGGGTGTGGGGCCGGACTGGGACTGGGGGTGACTGGGAGGGGTCTGGCCGGGGCTCGGGGTTTGGTAGTGTCGGGGTAGGGGTACAGGGAGGGTGGTTTGGCCTAAGCGTGAGGGGAAGGGGCAGGGGGTCGGCCGTCGGGATGGGGGTCTGGTTTGGAGGTGGGGGGGAGTCGTGGGAACGGATATCTGACTTATATATCTGGGTTTATTTGGATATCAGGCATATCTGACTTCTATATCTGGATATATTTGGATACGTGACGTGTATCTGGATATATGTGGATACCTGACTTAGATATCTGACTTGTGTATCTGGATATATTTGGATACCTGACATATATCTGACTTATATATCTGGATATATTTGGATACCTGACATATGTATAACTTATATATCTGGATCTATTCGGATATCTGACTTATATATATGGATATATTTGGATACCTGACATATATCTAACTTATATATCTGGATCTATTCGGATATCTGACTTATATATATGGATATATTTGGATACCTGACATATATCTGGATATATGTGGATACCTGACTTAGATATCTGACTTGTGTATCTGGATATATTTGGATGCCTGACATGTATATGGACATATGTGGATACCCGACTTAGATATCTGACTTGTGTATCTGGATATATTTGGATACCTGACATGTATCTGACATATATCTGGATATATTTGGATATCTAACTTATATATAGAGGAAGGGTAGACATGGAGGCGGCAGTGGGTCTGAGCTTGCGGAAGGTGTGGGGGTTTGAATAGAATAGATTGTTTCAGTCGGAAGGGACCTACAACGATCAAGTCCAACTGCCTGGCCAGTTCAGGGCAGACCAAAACTTAAAGCATGTTGGTAAGGGTGTTGTCCAAATGCCTCTTAAACAGACAGGCTTGGGGACATCAGCCGCCTCTCGAGGAGGCCTGTTCTGGTGTTTGACCACCCTCTTGGGAAGGAAATGCTTCCTGATGTTCAGTCTAAACCTTGCGTGGCACAGCTTTGAACTGTTCCCACATGTCCTATCACTGGATCCCAGGGAGAAGAGCTCAGAGAGCCCTCGAGATCAGTTTGCCCTAGAGCTGCGACAGAGGAAGAGAAGAAGATTGTGGTGGAGCCTGGTGTAGCAATGAGAAAGAGGATTTGGGGTGACTGACCTATGTTTTTTTCTAGTAAGACTAGGGAAAGAGTGGGGTCTGTGCTGGTACTGGGGAAAGATCTGGTATAACAGGTGACTGTGTTGTGTTTGGGGTGAGAAGGAGGAAGACTTAAAGAAGTCTTGTACTGTGAAAAAAGGAAGAAAAAGGGATGGAAGTGTGTTTCAGGAGGGGATAGTTCTAGCTTGGAGTAAGGAAATGGATGGTTTTGGGGATGGCATTGAGGAAGGAAAAGGGAGTGAGTTGTGGGAGGAAAGAAGGGGGACAGGGGAGGGTTCACTGCTGAGGTGGGGCAGGGGAACAAGGTTTGAGAAGTGTAGATGTGTCTCTGTTTTGGTTGGAGAGGCTGAGACAAGGTCAGGATTGAAAGGAAGGCTGATGAGGTTTAACCTGGGTGCTGTAGGGGCTGGTGTCAGTTAAAGGATGGGAACTGAGGCAGCCCCACACTTAAATGTATTTGGGAGAGGTTTGTGGGGCTTTGGTCTTCTATAAAGTTGCTTTGTACCAGAAATGGAGCGGGACCAGAATGTTTTTTTTTTTTCCATAGAAGGGTGAAAACATGATATGGAGAAGCCCCTTAGTCTTGAGCTGTTCTTTAGCAGGGATCTGTTGATCTTTTGAGAGGAAGGGAGCTGAATTTCTCCATGTGCCATAGGACAGAGATACTGTGTGTCTTTGCCTGCTGCACCTCTTGGAGGGGACACCCCTGAGTAGTTTGTGTCTTGTAGAGTTAGAAACCTGGTTGAACTGCATCTTAGGCTTTTACTTAAAGAGGGGCGAGTCACTTGGTAGGCCTTAAACATTTTTATGAGGGTTGTTGGGCTCACAGGAGTGTTAAACTCATCGTTTGCCAGATGGTAGCTTCGGGAATAAACCACCAAAGACAATGACCCTGTGGAAACTTCATCCATGAAGGAGGAGAAAAAGGAAACGAACACCAACACATTAGAAACACGTGCACAAGTGTTCTGCAGATGATTACCAAGGGCAGATGAGAAGAATCTGTGACTAAGTTTTGGAGGCGCTGAGGTGGACATGTTGTGAAGGGACGGTGTTCTGCTCGTGAGCTGGCAGCACCTTCTCCCAGGGTGTGTAGCATCTCCTCGCACCTGGGGTAATTAGTAATGCTTACATTTCATTGCATGATCTCAAAGCACTTCACAAGAGAAGGTGAGTCACCTCCTTTTTATAGAAGCAGCCACCGAGTTATGTGTTAGCGAAAGAATTTATATGATGTTGGCGGTGACGCTGCCGGAAATATAATCCATCTCTCTTGCTGCTAATCCTAGTTCTTGCTCCAAGCTGCTGTGTGTAACTGTGTGTGGGTCTGCACTCAGTTTTGGGGGGCAGATGTGTCCAAAAGACAAATTTTTCTAAAAAAGGAGGTGATTTACAGGATGTGGGTAATGCGTTGATGTTGGGGAGCCCAGATTGGGAGGGACTGCACGTGTCATCCGATGTGTAGGCCAACAAAAATTTATTTTTAAAATATGAAGAAATTGATTGTGGAATCATGTAGATGTCTCTTCTGCTAATACAGGGAAGTGGTTTAAGGACTGTAGCCCCCTCAAGTTTATGAACTTAATTCTTGACTCTATTTCCAAGAAATTTAAAGCCAGTTGTTTTTTTTTTTTTTTTTTTTTTTTCCTAGTCCTTTTCATGGTGTTCCAAAGGACTTAGATCTGTTCATTGTATTTTTTGTTTGTTTGTGTGTGGTTTTTTGTATTTTTTTTCTTTCCTGGGTGGGAATACTGAAATGGTATGTTTTATTGTAGTTGAGGCTTTTTTCAATATATTTTACAAAATCATAACTATTCCATGTCTTGTAATATAAGGAATTTCTAGCCGTGTTTTAGGAGGAATAGAATTATGAACTTCAGGTGGTAGGGTCAAAAGAAAGTGGAGAGAGAGAAATCATGACTTTTGAGTAATAGTTCCTTGTAATAAGCTGGCTGTGTAAGTGACAAGAACTCGAGCTCAGTGCTTCTGAAATGGGATTATCCAAACTTTAGGAAATGTGGGGAAGGAAAAAAAAAATCATTTTGAAGGACAGTAGCTGAGCTATTTGGTCTTTAGTGGTGAGTTCACTGTTTACATCAGAGAGGAAGTTGGTGTATTTAACATTGCTTTTCATTGCACAGCTCATGCATGGTGAGGTGTCCTCCATGCAGGTGTTGTACAAGATGGTCAGAGAGAAGAAGAGGCAAGGTTCTGTTTTATAAAAGGCAAAGTGCTGCCAGTAGATGAGACTAAGAAGTTTTTTTTTAATATAAACTCGAGGAGGTTGAGAATAGAGTTACAAAAGTAATAGGATAGTGATGGTTTTTAGCTGCTCAAAACCCGTGATCACAAGCCTGATGTTACACAATGCAATGCATGAGTGCCACAGGTGAAGTACATATTTAATGCCTTTTTCCAGCTAATTTCGTATGGTTTGCCTGTTTCTTCTTTTGTTTGTTTAACGTTGGTAAAATTTCTTGTGTTTTAATCCAACTCTTTGAAGTCCTGTGTTAAGTTATAGTGTGCTGCTGAATGTTTGTAAATAGTAGCTATGTTCTGTACCATTGATGAGTGTTTTTAATGTTGAATAAAATCGCTCCAGGTTATCCTTACATACATCTGTATTTTTGCAAGGTTTAAATTTCTCCTCTGTGAGAGGAAAGAAAAAGGAAAAAAAAAAAAAAAAAGTTGTGCAGATCTGATGCTGATGAAGACGTCATTATATCAGGGAAAAAATGTGCTGCAACAATTAATGGATTTAATTACCAAAGAGGTTTTTGCTTGGAAATTTTGGCCTCGGGCACAGAGAGGAGCTGACTATCAGGCAAAGCCTTTAAGCTCTCAGGTGAGTCAAGAATCATAAGACTCGAGGCATGTCCACATATATATACACAGGTCCAGTGACTGCTTCATTTCTTCTCCTGGACTGAGAGGACTTGTTTTACTCTTCGATCCAGAGTTAAATATACATTACCTATTTAAATATTTTTCCTTTTGGTAAGGGGCACGGTAGGATTTTTGCTTCAGCTTCAGACTTTTTTTACCTGCTCTTTTGGAGTTTGAAGAGAAAGAAATACTTGGGGAAAAAAATTCTACCTACGGATGGACAGTTCTGTCAAAGCAGTAGCCCCCAAAAGGCTGCCTGAGAGTTCTGCATCTACAGATAGAGGTAAGGAGATTGAGAAGATCTTTTTTTTTATAGCAGAGATGTGAGACTGCATCAGACATTAATATTTTCACAACCTTAATGGTGCAAAGCAGGCTGTAGAGAAAAACGCTGTCTTGATGGGGAGCTAGTGAGGGCTGGAGAGAGTTTGTGGAACTCTTGGCATGTGAAAAGGGGCTCTAGGCTGAGATTTAACAAAAGTTTAAGAGTCGTTTCCTTGTTTACAATTTCTCCTTGCCTCCCTGGTGTGGCTGTGCCTGGTTGAAGGTCGCTGTTGCTGTTAGCAAAGTCTAGGAGTTGTTTTTCAGATGACATTATGTTCTGCGGTGCCTGTCACAGCCGTCAGCATTGGGAAACCTGCATTTTGTTCCAGGTTTTCCTTGTGATCTGTTGCAAGACGTATAATCTTTCGGTGTCTTGGTTTCATCATTATTTATATACATTATTTTTGAAATGACATCTCAGGAAAACAGCTTCTTGTGAGCAGCATGCTGATATTTATGAGATTTTCAGAAACTAATGTAAGTGGCAAAGACTTGCACTGGGTGGGGGAAGGGGATGTCAGCTACTTTGGATGGGCTGGGATCTACTTTCCTGAACGTGACACACTGTTTTATAAATTGGGAGGCTGCTGATGCATTTTATTTTATATTTCCTGGGTCCCATGGGATATTTTTCCAGTAAATATAATTTGCCTCTGCAGCATGTTTAGGCTGCTAGGAGCTTGAGGGTGTAAAGCAAGATGTTTATTTTTGCTTATTGGCTGTTTGCTATTGTATTTACTTCATATCTAGGCAGTGTCAAACAGTTCAACTTAATTTGGATTTGTAATTTCTAAATCCTGATTGATAAAGCTGGAACATGATTTAGTTTCAACTGTCATTGATTTCAGCTGTAGTATAATTTATGTTGTTGTTTAAACTGACATAGTTGTCAGTTGTAGTAACAAAAAGTATACTGTTCTTAGCAGGTAAATGTGTATCTATTAGAAACACTTTGCCCTTAAAGTATCCTGTAAAAGCCCCTGTTCTGTTTCTGGCTGTTTTGGAATCCTGCTGCTGATGTTTGTTTCTTTGCAGTCACAGTTGACTGATCATTAAAAAGTATTTGTTGTCTTCTTGTTTGTGTAAGGCAGAAAGCAAATAATCTTTAAATAGAAAATATAACAGTTGGCTAATCACACAGGCCGGTCAGGCTGGAAAAAATAGTCTCTCCGTCAGATGTGTCTGATCTAACTTTGCTGTATTAGAGGAACTTCCTTTTCTAGATGGAGGAATTGAGGCCTGAGTTTTTAGCTTTTTCTCCAAATTATCTAATGATGTACAAATGATTGAGAGAAACAGTTTTTCCTAGAACTTGTCATTGTTTTGTTGGCTATAGCTACTCATTTAAATCAGGTTTCTGTGGGCTTTTCCCCCCTCTTTTTCTCTCATAGTACAGTGCGATGTTATCTCTCTAGCGCTGCAGTTTTATTAAGCCAAAACAGGTTGAGAATTTGACTTTAAACTCCAGCTGCTTTGTAAACTTCCAGCTTATTTTTTCCGTTTGCCTCACAAAAAATCAGAATGCCATGGAAGTAAGGTCTGAATACCAAGGTAAAGATTTTTTTTTTTTTTTTTTTTTTTTTTTTGTGGAATATGGCATGCCATGAGTAGTCCTTGTCTCCGTAATACTGACGTTTTGAATGTATTTAATAAAAGACATCATTGGAACTGGACTCGGAGTTGGAGCACTCTATTTAAGGGATATTTATGTTTCAGCAGCCTGAAAGCACTAGAAGATACTCAGTGCGTGCTATAGGAATTCACACCAGTGCTACCTGAAAAAGGCCGATTAGCTTTTTTATTTGGATTAGGATTCCTAGACATTTCCTTAAGGGGGAGCAGATCATACTGAAGTCAGAAGGTCTAATTACTATCAGTGTCAACCTAATTGGGGATTTTGTGATGGAGTTCTAACATTTCATTTATTGTGCCATACAAGTAGCAGAACACCTTGAGATAATGTTACGGTACTAATCTGTAAATTGTGCTATGATACATCAAAGGCTTTGAGAAGATAATGAATATATGAGTAATTAAATCACCATTACATAATGGGTGTTGACAAAGTAGTTGTGGAACATAATTGGTCTTCAGTGTTCCTGCTGAAAATGGTGGCATTATGAAGGAGATGTTACAGGAAACAATCTGGCCCTTGGGTGCAAGAAGCCTCTTTGAAATTGTGGAGAGATGCCACTCCAGATATGTTTCATTTAATTTATTATTCCAAATGTGAGATTGTTTTGATGTAAGCAAGCCAGGCCTGTGGCATATGACAGCTCTTTGTTTTCCTGCTGGGATTCCAGATACCTGTGAGCAAGTCCTATAGGATTAATATTATGTCATCGAATAGCATCAGGGGCTCTGGTGAAAACACGGCCTGTCACAGGGGTGCAATGAAGTCACCGTTGCCCTGCATGTTGTGCCCCTTCATGCTGAGTGACCAGAATCAGTTCTGTCGGCTCTTTCAAGCCTCTGCCTGTTCTGCTGCAGCTTGCTCTTCTACCACGTGTGCTGAGTCTGTGTACCAGGCCAGCAGCGCTTCTTCCCATACCACTGTGGCATCTTTTCCATCTTAACTTCCACCTGGGTCGGTCAAAGTTTTCCCGGCAGCACTGCTAAGTAATTTCCAGTTCTTCCCAAACTTTTATTTCCAAACGTCTTTGATAGTAACCGAGCAACAAAGAATATTTCACAGAACAAACACTACAGATTTAGGGGGAGTTGGTTTTGGCTGTGGTGTTCTACCAGAAGTTCTAGTATCCCCTTGAGTTTTAGAAGGTAGATGTTTTTCCAAGTCTTTCCTGAGACCAAATGTGATGATCTGAGATCATGACAATTTCGGAAGAATATCCATTTGTGGCTGGGCGTTTCTGCTCTTTAATAATTGTGAGCTACTGGTTAGTGGTGGTTGTGGTTTCACCTGCACTGTTGAATGCATTGAATAGACATTGTGGGTGTGTTCTTAACATACCTGGATGTTGAGGTATCACAGCAGAAGGGGAAGGACCGGTTATTTATTGTGATTGTTGTAGATATATGTTGATGAACTTGCGTTTTGGTATATTCTGGATTTTCTTCAGTACCTGTTGGTCTACGAGAAGCTGCTTCAGATAATGAGGTGGGGAATGGAAAACATTTTACATGATCACTTTCCAGTGAAAAGGGATATGTGAAAGACTCAGGAAAGTTAGTAAAAGTTTTTCATGATTCTGTTTTTGGTAGGTTCCCCTCCACCCAAAAATAAACATGTAGACTAATTAACTATAAAGCATCTCCCCTGTCTAAAACTGCACAGCAGTTATTAAATATCCAGGGCATTAATGTAGTCATTTGAAGTTTGTGGTGTTGTAAATCACGTGCTGAAACATGATGAGAACATAACAGTACCGCCTCCCCCTTTTGTAATGGAGTGGACAATAATACTGACATCCCTGTTCAGCAAGGGTGAGCCTTTCTGAAGGAAATATTTGGATGGTTCAAAATGGTTACCAAATTTTGTAACTCATTTGCAGCTGTTTCCAAATCTATCTTGGGTATGAACCTGAAAGGATACAGTGAAAGCATTGGAAGCTCGCTGTGGATGGGATTAATTACTTGACTGTGTTTTAATGTCAGCTTTTGTTTGTTGCTAAGGATTCTTGCTTTTTTTTTTTTTTTTTTTCTTTCTCTCTTCTAGTTTCTCCTTCTGGCTTTGAGGGCGTTGCTCTTGAAGAAGAGGATCTGAACGGCGAGCTGATGAACGAAGACATACGTATCCATAGCTGGCCTTGTTCTTACTACTTGGACACCAACAAGCAATGGGTCTCTGGCAGGCTCTCACTGACTCCTGTTGCGATCAAATTTACAGCTGACAAGACTGGGGAGCTTTTGGTCAACTTTCATCTTTCTAGTATCAGCGAGATCAAGAAGGAATCTTCAAATTTAATCTTCAGTTCCCTTACCATCTTAGAGAAGAACACCAAGCATTGGTTCAGTTCTCTGCAACCCAACAGAAATGTGGTATTCAACATCCTTGAGCACTTCTGGAGGGAGCAGTTGCTGTCAAGCCAAGGTGCAGGAGCAGAAGCAGCAGCTTTGCAGTCAACAAAGGGAAAAGAACTGACCGGGCTATTGACTGGATCGCAGAAACGACTGGAGGACACGGCAAAAGTGCTGCATTACCAGGGCGAGCAGTTTGATAACATCATGAGAGGACTCAACAAGATTGAAGGGGATATGGATGTAGCAGACAGGTACGGTACTGTAGCATCGGAGCTAAGAAGTGGTTGTGGGATTGTATTGCTTATGACTGAAATTTCTGGGGAAGATCCACAGAAGTTTTTAGGAAACAAAACTGTCGACTTTCACTGAAAGATTAAGCATGTTATGGTCTTTTGTGGCTCTAGTACTTCTTATAAGGTGTTTCTGTATTTCTGTCCTCCCTTCTGCGTGATGTTTTTTCACCCTGGTGGAGTTGTTTGTGTATATATATACACCTGTCCTCTGTCCTTCAAAGAACTTTTCAATTCCTTATGAGTTTCAGCCACAACTTGCAGAAATGGTAGAGGTCTCCAAAATATTAACCTGTAAGTTTTGAGAGAATAGGCAACTCGTTAGAGGAAAGAGATACAAATTAATGTCCCCACTGAAGGACAAGGTGTGACACTGACATTTTTATTCGATGTCCTAGAATATGCATAAATGCAAAACACTGAAGGTTGGGTTTGGTTAATTTTGCCAGTCTTGGACAAGACTTTTGCTGTTCCACAGCAAACACAACCACGGTTTTGCTTTTCTGATTTTTTTTTTTTTTTTTCAAAGGAAATGTTGAATATGGCAGGTGGGCTATTGACTTGGAGACAGTTTCCTAGAGTTATCAGGAGGCAGCTGCCAATTAATCTTTAGTTCACGCAGATTTTATTCCTTTTGCTCTGTCTGAAAGTCAGCTCTTGAGGCTGCTTTTTGCATATGAATTGTGTGCAGTTGAGGCGTTTATATTTGCTGTTTCCTTCCCAAGAACTTCATTGCTATCTACGCATAGCAGTGAGGATTGAGTCTGTGGTGTGGAGGTAGTCAGGGAAATGGCTGTAGAAACAGTGCTCCCATATTTGTATTTTAAACCTGCACTGCTTTTAACCTTACATGGTATACTCCCTGCCTTTAGGTCTAGGTGGAATAAATAGATTTTGGGGAAAATACAAGCAGTGTTGAGCAACGCTGAACTGCTGAGCTTTGTCTGCAGAGTGTGGTGGTGCAAGAACTGGAGAGACAGTACTAGACTATTTGTGGTAATCTCAATCAGGCACTTAAGCCAGTGTGTTCAAAACAATTAGCCACCAAGTGCTGCCTTTAGACAACTGAAGAGATTTGGAGCGCATTTGAGATATTGCTTAACGTTAGCTGTTGCAAAATGCAATGTGAATAGTAAATGGTTTGGTGTCTTAATCAGAACATTATGACTTTACTCTTTAATGATTAATATTCAGAGTGAATTGCTCTAAGCTATTTTGTATGCTGCAGGTTGGATTCGATAGCAGTCCAAAACAAGACAGTAAGGTTCAGAGTAGTACTGTAGTGCTTGAAGATATATAGCTATGAGTGTCTTCGTAGAAGCTCTGACACCTGCAAGAAGAAACAAACACAATAAAGTTCAAACTAGTTGTTTTTGGAAGAGGCATCTGTTTTTAGACGGATATCATGTCTAAAAGAAGGTGTTGATTTCACAGTGATTCTGGTGATATTCTCCATACCCTTTAATGAAAAGCCAAGATAACTGAAAGCTTCAGCAATAGCTTTTAAAGTTCTGTAGCAATAAACAATGAGTAGGAAAATAAATACCTGCTCATTGTTTTTGGAAGAGAATTTTGTTTTGGGTTAAGATGCTCTGGGAGGTATTATTTGTCCTCATGAATCTGAAGAGCTAGATGCTTTGATTTAAAAACGGAAAAATAAAGGAAGGCATTGACCAAATGTTAGCTGAGATTCTGTTTTATCTACAGCATGAAGGATTTGGCCAGCTTGCTGGCAGACTAAAATGCAGCCCAGAGGCCGTTAGTGAAACTGTGTTTTAATTGCACTGTGCTTTTTAAGGAGTTCTGACAGGTTTCTAGCATAGTTTGTGTGTGTGTGGTTTTTCTCATACAGCTGCTTCACCCCCTGCAGTCCTCCCTTAAACTGAGGACATCTTTCTTCATGTCCCTAATCAATGCAGAGAATGGGGAAGACTGTGATTGAAGCTCATTTGAGTGTTTTTTATTGGGTAATTCAGACTAATGACATAGATAAATATGGTAATGTCTATTAAGGCTCATTGACTCTTGCTTTCTTTAGAAACTTGATGTAAAGTAACTACATGGATTATATCATCCAGGACTATGCTGCACGTGTAGCAGATTTTGTGCAGAGTGAAACTTTGGTAACAAACTTTTGTGTCTGCTAGTTCAAGGTTATATGAGTGACACGAGTTTGGCGGTGGTGTCTTTCCTAAAAAGAACCAGGCCCCTTTATATACTTTCATATGTTTAAAACTGTATTAACTTTATCTTGCCTGTATATGTGGGCTTTTTGGGGTTCTTACTTCTGTTCTTGTGTGTGCTTGGGTATATACAGCTGCTTTCAGTGGACCTGCACGCAGATAAGCAGAGCTGAGTCTGACGTGCTAGCAGATGTTCAAAGACCAAAAATAAACAGAAAACCAGATTCACTGGTTTCTTTTTAATATATTACTATTAGAGGACAAAGTACACTGGTTGCAAATTTTCATTTGTATACAAGGACTGGTCATACAGTTTGTTGATACAGAGGGCTGACTCCTCCGTGGAAGGCCAGGGAAGTCAGCTGGAGGCTTTGTTAGGGCTGTGCAGCAGCAAAGTCTTGACTATAAATCAGACATCGCACAGCCAGGATGTCAGTCCCGGGGGAAAGAGGGAGGGAGATGGGTGAAGGGATAAAGCGATAAAAATTAAGGCTCAGAGTTCCCCAGAATAAGTTACCGCAGTGTAAATGGAGGTTTAGACTTGTCACGTTGCAGCTGCTTTTCAGTAAGTGAATGCATGTGCTTTTCTCACGGTGAATGTGATGGACTGAACCCCTATTGCAGTAGGAATTTAATGACTTTTCATGGGTTAAGACACAGGCGTAACCCGTTGTTGCCCCAAAGCACCTTGTTGTAGTTCTTTTCATACACCAAGAGGGCAGAAGATGTGCTGTAGAAAGGAGATCAGGTCATTTGTTTAGTTTACAGCAGGTTGCTTAGAGCATGGCTTTTAATTTGGAAGATGGTGTGTGTTAGCAGAGCCCAGGGCTTTTTCAGTCATTCTCTGTGTTGAACTTAAGTTGAACCTCACAGTTTCAGAATTCATCCCTAAATCTATGATACTGTGCCACTTCAAATTCTGTTATTGTAGAACTTTCTGTTACATCTCATTTGGTCTGTTTTTTTTTTATTGCTTGTTTAGTTTGGTTTTGGTTTTTTTTTTTTTTTTTTTCTCCTTTCTTTTTTTAAGGAGTGTCACAGCATTTTCAGAGGGCAGCAAAGAGCTTCAGACTCATTACTCATGTTGCGTGCTATCTACATTAATATCTGATGTTCATGCTTTAGTAGAGAGTAGATTCTTGGAACAATTCATTCTGCCTCCACTACCCATGAATTCAGTGGTTGAGTCCCAGTATGACTTTTTCTGCTTCTCCTAGCAGATGAATTTCTTTAAGTAGGTCTGGTTTGAAGCTGGTGCAGAATTTTGATGGCTAGTAAACAAAGCGTGTTCAGTTAGAGCTTCCTCTTCCAGATTAGACTTTGTCTGCAGCCAAATCAAACAGGACTTTAAAATTGCAAAGTCTTCTGTAGACACAGACTGATTCTCTCATGGAAAATAAATCATTACAAAAAGTATCTTGAGAGCAGCACTGCTGTGATGCATATTTTATTAGTCTGTACCTTTCTAGAGTAAACTTAAAAGCAAATTAAATCAAGGTGGCTCTCCAAAATGGCAACGAAACAGTGGTACTTTATTTTGGTCTGATAAGGCTTGCATCTTTAGGATTTGTCAGTAAATAGTCTTTTGTAGTATCAGTAAGATGACAGTGTTTCATTAAAGGTTTTATTGAACGTGGTCTGGCTTCATTAGAAGCATCTACTACAGCTACCATGCCAGTGGCACATGCCTAATCACTGGATAGTCTTTAAAGGTATTTATGGCGTGGGACACACACACAGTGCTGATCTGGGTTGAACTTCCATAGAGGTTTCTTTTTGTTTGGTTTAAACATAGCCTCTTCCCTCCTGTTAGTTGAGAATCGGTGCGTGCCTCCAGAGATGGCTTCCCCATTCCGTTCAGTGATTGAAGGGTGGGCTGAGAAATCATCACCTGAAACATCCTGACCAAGCTAGTAGCCTGCAGGCTGGTTTGGTCTGTGGGATGCTTCCAGTCAGCTCACTGCTGTGTACCAGCTGGGGACTGGGTAGGGTGGTTTGAGCAGTGGAGGCATTCCAGAGGGTTTGCTTGCCTCTCTCTATGCCTGCCTGCAACTGGAGACGAGCCGTTTCGGCTTGGGCATGAAGTGGGTACTGGGGGCTGCTGGTGGGTGACAGAGGTGGCTGCTTGCACAGCGGGAGGACACACTGAAGTTACTGATGGCTGCGCAGGGAGATGTTGTTGGCCCCAAAATTTCCTTCCAGCCACTGAGGCTGAGTCATCCTGAAAAAGAGGATTCTCTACTAGCAGGATGGGTTTGGGTGACGGGCAGGCGATGAGAGTGGGAGAAATGGAGCATCATAGGTGCTGACTGTGGCTCTGCCCCTAGCTCCTGTTTAGACCTGGAGAGGGATGCTAACAGGTAAGCAGCACAGCACGTGGAAAGTCAAACCAAAACCACCACCTTCTCTCTCTTTCCCATTTTTTTTTTATTGGTGGAAAGAGTACTCATGAGATTTAGACCCAAAGAGATCTGTGATCATGATCCTTTCTCAGGAGATGACCCCAGAAATGGGGAATGGGCTATGCTGATAGAAAATACAACAGAAGGATCATGTCTTCCATGTCATTGATTCTTCCTAACAGTGTTACATGTTTCTTGCCTGCAGCAGATAAACTTAGGTGCCTGCTTAGGTGCATCTTCTTAGAAATGAGGGGCTTGACTCCTTGTGTTATTTCTGGCTGTACAGTGGTCTTCCCTGGGAGCAGTTGCTTGATTCCTCTGTAAAATGAGCTGGTTACCTTTGAGCTAAGGCACCAGTTTCCCAGCAAGGAGGCCTGTCTCCTTCAGGAGCTACACCAACGTTGATGGTGAGGCAGATGCTGGATGCCGGTGGGCAGTCTCTGCTGGCCTCTTCAGCCTCAACCTTTCACTCTCAGTGTTTTAACTGTCAATGGGAATTTGGGAGTGGGGTGCAAAGCAAAAGGTGGCATCAGACTACAGGGCTGAGGTAGAAAAAGGCAGTGGTGGTGACGGCCGAGTGGGGAAACACTGAGGTAAAGTGCAGTGTTAGTGGAAGAACAGATGAGTATAAACTGGCCTTAATAAATCCAGTTGGAAGTTGGATTTCTCACATCAGAACAGTGAGATTCGGGGACCGCTTTCCAACCTGTTAGCAAATGAAGAAAAGCCTGTTTTTAAAATGGATGGATCCTGGTAACCTGTGAATAGGTTTGAGGAGTGAAGTGTAATGGAGGATTGGATTCAGTATTAAGAAATCTTTGTGTCTATGGTAATTTGTTTTGAACTGGTGGGGTAGCACGACCCTCCTATTGGCTTTCACTCTTCTAACACTCTCTTTTCTCCTCTAGGTTGTTGACTGAGCTCGAATCTCCTTCTTGGTGGCCATTTAGCAGCAAGCTCTGGAAAGCGCCATTGGAAACCAAGCCAAAGGAAACTGCCACAGTTTCCGATTCGAAGAACCAGGAAGGAATCGTAATTAGAATTCCAGTTATTATCACCCACAGAACAGACTCAAATGTCAAGCCAGGAAAACTCACGCTCTTCGCTTCTGGCCTGGAAATCAGTGACTGCAATTCTCAGGTCATTCACCGGTTTGAATCAAGGGATGTAGATGATATCAGAGTTCATACACCATATGAAATCAGTGTCCGTCAGAGATTTATCGGGAAGCCCGACACCTCTTACCGGCTCTTGTCAGCAAAGATGCCCGAAGCAATCCCCATCTTGGAGATGCAGTTTAGCAAGAAGATACAGTTTTTAGAAGATGCCCTAGGATTTGTTGGTGCCAGGAAGTCTCCTCAGGTAGATTTGGGGACCTCCATTTGGCAAGCAGGTATGTGACAGACAAAGCAACCCGTCTGTAAACCATAACGCTAGCATCAAAAGTTTCCAAGTGGGTTTCAAATTCAGTGTATAATATTTACAAGGCAAATCTTCCCCCCCCCTTGCCCCAACGGTGAGACCATGCTGATGATAACACACAAGCAATAACTGTCAGGTGACTTTAGACCCTCTTGCCAAGGGGGTGAGAGTGGAGATGACAGAAGTGTGTGGCCCAGTCCCAGTCTAGTTGGATTTACTTTCTCCCAACTACATTAGCAAAACCTGTGACTGTAGATGCTGAAGCTGAGTGTCCCTCAGGAGCCTGACAGCTGGAATATGCCAAGCCCTCTCTAACATTGTGCTCTCAGCTGGTGGTGTCACTAACTCCACACCACTTTGTAAAAGGATTAGTTTAATTTGAGTTTCAGCTACTGGTCTGTGTTTTAACTCAATGTCATTCTTTTTCCTGCGGTCACCAATTCCGTATTGTGCCACTCTGTGGGAAAGGGTCGTTAGAAATCCATTCTTCTCTCCTGATTTCATGCTTCAGAGCCCTCTCTCGTTATTTTTTCCTTTGTCAGTTTGTAGCTGGAAGCATATTTATATTAAACCTGTCTTCAATTAATTGTAGGAAGTTTAAAACAAATTTTCAGTCCAGCAAGATTTTCAATAACATATGGAATAAACACCATGTTAACTTTCATATCTTAAACAGTAGAATTTTGTTATTTGACAATTTCAGGTGTTTGGATGTAGGAGATTTTAGGTCTCAGATTAGGTGAATGCATAGTTTAATCATTTTAAGAAAACACAGTGGAGACTAAAGCCCTTTCACAACCATAAGAATGGCATTCCTTACTACTCTTATTTCTGCTAAAATTCGGGGGGGCATTGTTTATTTTTTTGTTTTTGTTTTTGTAATCCAACCCTGCATTCATTTGGAGACCTGGTGAATTTTTGTCTGCTAGGAATTTATTTCTATCAACATGCCTGAATCCTCTTTTTTTCCTAACTGTTAGTGAGAAAAGAACAAATTGGTGGGTGGATTTATTGCCAGTATATTAAAAACAAGTAGAAAAAGGACACAGTAAAACAATAGATGAACCTATTTCTGTCCACCGAGCTAAAACTGGACTTGAGCAGGGAGGAAAATGTCCTCTTGTTGACAAGTTGTCAAGGGGCATAGCTTGGAAAACCTTGTTAATTTTTAAGGAAGTAAGTCTTGGGCATCTGGCACTAGAACGTCAGCACAACAACTTAGAGGAAAAACAACCTGCTGGTTTCTTAAGCAGAGTTATTCCAGCAAATTGGTGTTCAGTTCCTGATGGTCTTAAGGCTGGTTACATAAAATAATTGGTTATACAGCCCTACTGTGCTTAATTTCCCACTGCTCTGCTCTGTTTGCATCTGAGTCAGTGAGTCAAGGATATTGCTCTCCTACCCCCACCTGCATTTTGACTGTTTAATTTGGAAATGGCAGTAAAGAAAACTGGAGGTTATGGAAATCCTGACTTCTCCAGCTCCACCAAAACCCTGTTTGTTCCTTCCCCGGAGTCTGTCACCCTCTGTCTTCTGTCACAAGATGGCAGTCACGGACTGTGTTTTAACCTCTGGGTTTTTTCCACAGCTGCTCACATGGTGGAAATACTGATTTTGAAATTTTTTTTTTTTTTTTTTTTTTTTCCTAAAAGCAGGGTGGGGGGAAAAGTCTGTGTTATGCGTGCCTGCCTCTGTGTGCACATAAAATATATGTGTCTATTTTCAGATAGCGAATGTTGATTCAGAGACTTATAGGAGAAATATCCTTGCAGCAGAGGTACGTCTGATCTGTGAACTGGCTCGTAGCATTCTTTGCCCTCGGTGGTGCAGCTCAGAGACATGAACGTCTCCACAACTGTCACAGTCTCATCTGGATCCTCTCTGTTTATAAATCCTGCCTTAAAGTTGTGCATGTTGCACGTTTGTATAAGTAAATACAAAACCCCCTCATCTTTCCTAAGAGTTTTGGCTTGATTCCGCCTAGAAGAGGAAGTTGTGAAGAGTTTTAGACGCACCAGATTATCTGGAAGTATTTTTAGTTGCTTTGCATGTCTTTTCTGACTGTATTTCTTTGGACCAAGGCGCACGGGTGTTTAAATGCTCAGGACAGAGCAGTGAGGTTTGTTTTGTAACAGGGGTTCTGTGCTGGATGGAGCCAGTGCTTCCCAAGCCAAAAATATCCTCGATAATAGCTGATAAAGCTACCCGGGATTAAAAAGCACAAGAAATCCTACAGTGAGTCTGCAGTATAACAATCTAGGACAGTGCTGTCTCAAACCTATAGCCAAAGACTGGCATTCAACAGGTTTTTTTTTATCCCTTTCGAGGCTGCTGAATTTTTCCTGCTTACCCCTGCGACCGAACGTTCCCATTATTATGAGTTTCCAGCACTTTGTTCAGAGGTTTGGTACCTTCTGGTCCTCACGTGGTGGCAGCGAGTCTTACAGTCCAACTGGGTGTGACATAAATGAAACAAAATTGCTTTTTAAATGTTTCTGCCTTTCTGTTAAGTTCCATCTCCTTTTTTTAAACTAGAAAATTGCTGGGAAATGCCAGATCTCCTTCCTCGTCCCATTCTTCTTGTGCGCCTCTGTCATATCTCCCCTCCTGTTCTTGTCCTCAGCGAGATTAATGAAGTGAAATGGATAGATTTCTTGGTTTTCATGAAATAATTGGCATATGGTGACACTCAGCTGATAAGAAACAGAAGGAATCTTGTCTGGCTATTTGCTGCCATGGGAAGGTCTGTCATTCCCTCCTCACTTTGTCATCTGAGGGAGACCACGATAGTAAATTACCATAAGCAGCAGTTTTCAGTGCCTGGTTCTTAGCCCCTCTGAATACAAGGAGCATTTGCACAGGGTAACACTAGTACAGTGAATGACTTGCTTGTCTTAAATCTTGACGGTGGCCGAGTTCAGTGACTCTCAGGCTGATATCTGAATAATTCCAGGGATTATGAGTTTGCAGTAATTACTTGAGAGGGATTTAGGATTTGGTACTTCTGGTTTAGCTTTTGTCTCCCTTTTCACGGGGAAGTAATGCTATCCAAAGCAGTCGGTTATACACTGTCAGTTGGCCAGCCAGCTGGGCACCAGCTCTTCGACCTGGCAGTGAGCTCTGGCATCCGATTTGCTTTCTGTCCTGATGTACATAAGAGCTGCTGTCGTCGTCCGGTGCTGCGTCAGGCCATGTGCTCACGGGTGGCAGCGTTAGCGTTCGCTGCCTTCTTGGTACCTCTTTAAGGGGGAGAGCTTCGGAGAGGTTTGAAGCGCCTCTAGGAGCCAAGATGTGTGTCTCGGGTGTTTAGCACCCATCTGCATCAGAAATAACAACCTTTCCTTGCAGCACGTCCCTGCTACCCTACTGGGTAGTATCAGATACTGCAATAAGAGCCGATGCTTTAAATAAAGGACAGGTGGCATGTTACACGAGGGATTGCATCCATGCTGCTTAGCTGGGGGTGGCTGTTAGCGTCAGTGTTGCCCTTCTGTTTCAGGGGTTTGCTGACTTGACTCTTGGGCTCTGTCCCTGATTCATCACTTCTAAATTCCGTAATTAAAAAGATTAAAGAGAGAAGAAGCAGCAGGTGGAGAATCCTCACGTATCTGATTGAGAGTGTTGCTGCTGCTTCTTTGCTCAGATGAATCCCCACAGCCCAAAATGAACCCGTTCTCCAAACGCTGCCTTTAATAATAAGTCATCTCTTGGCAGCCTGGTCACCTCCAGGCTAGGTGTTGTACAAATTTCAGTTCAAATCCTTTCTAGAAGAAGGGAGCTTAACAGGCCAGGTTGGGTTAGGCTTCTCTGAGTGTGCTTGTCCCCTCACAAACGGCTTTGGAGCAAAGCAGAGGTCAGCCGGTTTGATACTAGCACTGGTCCTCCCCCTTGGTACAGGAGATGGCAGTCTGACCACAGGATTTTTTTCTTGCAGCCACAGGACTCCTGGGAGGAGTGGTACAGCCCAGCTCTCCGGTGGGAGGCAGAGAAGGGATGGACAACGACCAGGTTCAGCTGCAGAAGCAAGAGAAGATCTCCCAGGAAGAAGCAAAAGAGCTTAAACAGGTATAAGTTGAGATAACTTTGATAAGAGTTGTTTCACTCCCTCTGCTTCTGTAATAATGTGCGTTTTCATCACCAGAAACATAGTCATTGTCTTTTAACAAAATATTCCTCCAGCTACATTTAGATGATCATATATTAAAAATCGCTTATTGAAGCCTGTGATTAAAACACACTGATAATATTTGCTTTTAACAATTTTGAACGAGGCAGGGATTATCAGCAAAATATATTAAGTGATAGGATTATAACCCAAGGAGAATCCTGAACTGTAACCTGTTTTTTTCTGAAGATTAAGAAACTTAACCATTAAATAATTATCAGCTTCTTTGTGTTTTCCCTATGCTATCTTATTCTTTTCAGTAAGCAGTAACAGTTCTACTTCCAAAACATCCACAAAGCTGATCAAAGTGTTTTATAAACACACAGAGAGAACTTGTAGCTAGAAAATAAGTATGCAGCCCAGAAAATTAATAAAGGGGATATAGGCTGGAGATTGTACTAGGGAAAAAAATGTTTATTTAAAGTAATCCGTTCTGATATTGTTCCTCTAAATGGCTCTTTAAGGAATTTATCTCATAGCTGATGTTCAGAACTTTTAGTAAAGAATCCCTTTTTTTGTAGTATGTGGTTGATCTGAAACACTGAACTAACTGGAAAAGCAAAGCACTATGGTTTTAGTGGTTTCTCCGTTAACATAGGTTTACTGGTGATGATCACAGCCACATCAGAACATCAGACGATGTGACGGAAGATTAAACTTTATTCTCTTTTTTTTTTTTTTCCTTTTTTTTTCTTCTTTTTCTTCCTCTAGCATCTTATTCTCTTTGATATTCCATCTGTAACTTGGTGATAGCATCATGTGAAGTCTTTGCTAATTCTATTGCCCCTTAGCCAAGCCTGCAATTTTCTAGCCCCCTTCTTTTATTTTCTAGTTGGGAATTAGAATCTGGCAACTTGTGTTAGCTTGAGTGCATTTCAGAGTCACAAACACTTAGTAGTGACTCGAGTGGCTAAAACCAAAAACTTCTTGCAGGAAAAATCTGTTTATTAAAAACAACGAAAAGACAGCTGGGCAAGTGAGAGTTTAACCTTAGCAGAAGGTTAATTTTAGAAATTTCTGAAATTCCCTGTGCTGGATGGTAGACTAGAAACACAGTGTTAAATGGCCAGTGTTGTTGAAAACAAAACAAACTGCTTTCAAGCTTTAACTAGAGCTCAAAAGACAATTCTGGTGTTTATTTATACCACACCAAGCCAAGAATTTTTAAGCCAGTTAATGATTTGGGGCGAGGTTGTGGGGTGGTATGGGTGGGGAGAGGATCTGAATGCCAAACTGACAGGCCATGAATTGGCCTGATTTTTTCCCAATAGTTGCTGAGCACCTGTTCTCTGAGAGTCAGGCCTCTTTAATCATCATTTCAGTCTATTAATAATTTTAAGGTACATGCTGTAATTCCTATAAAACTCCTGTTAGTTTTCCTTACTAGGAGTCACCACATAAATACACAGTTTTAGACCAAAACTTGCTTCAGTAACCAAAATATAATCAAGAGCTTTTGACTGAAATATCTTATTTGGGCTTTTTCAAAAACAAAATGGACTGTTCACCACTTAATCATTCTCTGTTCTTCTCGTCTTTTAAAGAATCCATCTCCATGATCTATCATTTTATCAAAAAATAAGCATTTTCTGAAGCAGTGTTGACCTTCTGGAGGATTTTAAAGGAGAGTATTTCTCAATCACAGTTGTACAAATACCAGTAATCTATTATTCATGCGTGCATACGCTTTGTACAGCTGTTATGTATTCAGAAGGACTAGTTGTTCCTCCCTTAGCTTTGAGCTTTTCAGCACTATAATTCTGATTTGTAGCCAAACCCAGAAAAACTAAATGCGATGTGAAGGCTTGTTGGTCACGGACTGCTATTGAAGACACATTTTGCTACACCTTGCAAAAAAGGCTCTCGAGGAATTGCTTCCCCATGGCCAGTTTTTGACAGCTGAACACCAACCTTTGTTGGTGCTTGATATTCTCAAAGCAGTTGGCTGTGGCTGGAGGAGCAGAGGACGGGGAGTTCAGCCTCTTCCGAGTCTTGTGAAATGGGAATGAAGCCTCTCATCTCACAGAGACTGGTGTCTCTCCAGCTGCTCCCGGTTGTTGTCCAAGCACTGCTTTTTCTCATTGCTTTAGAGCACAAAGCAGAGTGAAAATAACTCAGAATCTTTTGATTCTGTTAGGAGAGAATGTGGTGAGGTTTAGAGGGGAAGTGTAAAGAAGTGGAAGGGAAGGAAAGTGGGATTGAAGAGGGGAGTTCCTACCAGGAAAAACAGATTTGAAAGATAGGGAGGTTGGGGATGTATTGTAATGGGGTTCAAGGGCAACATCATGGTAAATGCCATGCAAAGCCTTTTGGGTGTTGAACTCCTGGCAGCACTGAGTTGAAGATCTTGAAACTACATCCGAGGAGGACATTCAGTGCTTATCTAAGGTATGTCAAGACTTTATCGAAGGCGTTATTTGCCCTCTTCAGTCATTTTTATAATCGAGAAGCGAGTTAAATCCATAAAGAGAAAGCAGGGCAGGAAACCAGGAGCTTTGTTTCATTTTGAGCTGTGTGGCCTTAAGCAGCCAGCCGCACGTTTTAGGGTGCTCCTTGCAGAGGTGTAGCCTGCTGCTTTGTCCTTTTTTTTTCTCCAAGCCTGTCTCATCAGTGAGCAGAATGTGTAGTCACGTAGTCATTTCAGCTGGGAGCAAGGACTTGTCTTTCATTGATGCGGTCGCTCCCAGAGAGCTTCTCTGCACTGCTTCAGTTCAGCTCCCGCTTTGGGAGTGAGCAGGATGATGGTTAATCAGGTTTGTAAAGCATTTACAGGGGGAAAAGATTTACAAGTGCAAAGGATTAACATGCATCGAAGACAATGATACTTGTGGCATCAGACTTCCATGAGTGAATTAAAGGTGTTTGATTTCCCTATGTTATAACCACAGTGTTTTTCTGAGCAGTTTCCTCGCTTGAGGATTATGATCTTTTATTCTTTGATTAGCTATAGTACAAGCACTTGTTTTTAAAAAAAAAAAAAAGAAAACAAACCTGAACAAAATCACAAAGCCCAGAAGAGCTCGGCTCTGTCCCCCTCATTACTTGGGATGTGGGTGAGTCCATCAGAACTTTGGAAGCTGGAGAAATAAGAGGAAATTGCGATGAACAGACAAATAGTTGTCGCTTTTCCTCTCTCCTCGAAAACAAAGTACTTGCAGTAGTAATAATAGAAGTTTTGCAACAGGAATTGCCGAATGATACTAAATTCCTTCCATTAGAGCTGGAAGCCCTGAGCATCTGCAGTTGGGATTGGGTGCCTGAGGAACGGACCTCACCAGGACTTCGTGAAGGGATGTTTATGTTAAAAAACACAGAGTTTGTGGCAGCGTGAGCTGTGTTCCTCAATTGTGCTATAGAGATGGAGAAAGAAGCCTATGAAGTTTCTGTGGTCTGGCTGAGCCTCTGCCTACCGCCTCGCTGTGGCTGACATAATGGCACCGGGTGTGGAAGGGGATATGATAATATTAGCTTAAGGGCTGTGGTCGAGGGGGGTGGGAATTCACTAAATTTGAATTTATTTTGCCAGACCAGTGCTTTCTAATTTCCGAAAATGTTCCTGCCAAAAAACTGTTGCCCTGATATTTACTGTCTGCAGATCGCATATGCCATGAAAACAGAGATAGTAGTAAAGAACTTATTTCTGTAACATCTGGGAAAAAAACACATCCTGGTGCACGTCTTTGACGTTTGCTTCCTCGATGTTGTCTTGCGTTTAGGTGGTTCATTTCAGTCCTTTGCTACTTTCAGAGTCTCTTCAGTGTTTATTTACCCTTTTATCATGCCCTCAACTCAGGAAATCACAAATATTAGGTCAGAGAAAAAGCTTTTTGTTGAGGAACCGTTCATTCCAAGTGCTAAATACCAAATTTGCTCATAGGATGGCCTTGTTCCATGGCCTATAGCAATCAACAGACAGCTGATCTTAACAGACATGTGTAACGAGCATGCCTGGGATTTATTTTTTGGAAGGCACAATATGGGGGGAGAGAACTGAGGTCCTCACAACTAACGCTTTGTATTTGCTTGTGTGTAACTTAAGTATTTAATGGTACCAAAATAAAAGGTGGTAGTTAAGCTTGTGGAGCTGCTTGAGTATTTTTTTCCAGACAAGGCCAGCGGTATGTTAGAGGCACCATGGGTGCTTAGTACTTCCTGGGAAAGTAAATAAAATCAGACTTCTGTATCAGTCCAAGAAGAAATAATGGGAGAAATCAGCCACTAAAAATAAGATGGTAAACAGTGAGCCTTCCATAACTGTCCAAATAGCCACTGGCTCAAAAGAGCTGATGCTTTAAAACTTGTCTGCTTTTGTGTGCTTCAGATACAAGGGACCTGCTGTCCTGTCCATCTTGCCTATTCCAGTGTTTTCTGTGCTCAGAAATTCTGTGCTACAGGAGACAGCCTGATTTTTGGGAGCAGGCAGAAGCACTTTTGCTAGTGGCTGATGTTGAAGCTTGGGTATTCGTACACCAAACCCAACCCTGGATCAAGCAGAAGGAACGTCTGTGCTTTGCATAGCTACAGGCAAGTGCTGATAGCAGCAGTCTCAAACAGGAAGCCTGTTAGAGGAAGGAAAATCCGTACGTTTTTGTTATGGCAAGTTGCACTTGTCTCATAAGACGTTGACAAATGTCCTCTAGTAAATTGTGTTGCAGTGGTTTAAGATGTTGCTGCTCTGTGCTGTCTCCCTGCCCCTTTCCAGGTGCTACAGGAGAGGATGTGAACAGGCCTTTTAATATTTTCAGTGCAAGATCAATCCACTTAATCCTCATTGTGGGTTTGAGCCTATAATAGGACTATGAATTGGAATATATTAGGAGTTGTCCCCCCTTCTTGCTCAGCTGCAGGCCGATCAGCACAGAGGTGAAGCACTGTCTTAAATCATGACAAGTTGTCACTGTCAAAACCTCTTGTTTGCACCCTGGTTTGGAGTGCTGCAAATGACACTTTTGTTTCCTCATAACGGGTGAATTTGGCTAGGGAAGCTGCATTCAAGGGCTATTTCTGGTTACATCTGTTCTGCTTTAGCATTCAGACCTCAGTTGCATGGGGATAATGGAATGGATCTTGGGGAGGATTTCAGGGAGTTCAACCTACAATTGGCAATACTTCCTCCACAGTGACACTTTCTGTATCTTATTTTGACTGCTGGATACTCCGTGTATTGAGGAAGTAGATCATATTTCACAAGTTTTATCTAAATTGTGTTCTTAGGATGGCATCTCGGGGCCCAAACCAAACTGAGATCTCCCTTGTAAGGCCTTTAGGATTCAATCTCTGTTTGCACAGTGCCCAACACTTTGAGTTTAGGTCTTTGGTTGGTGTGGCAAATAGGTCTTTGGTTGGTGTGGCAAAATTATAAAGTAACAGGGCTAAACACTGAGCAGGATCACGGGCTTGGAGTCCTCTTCTGTCATTCCATTTGTGCCTCTGCTCCAACTAAACCGGGTGCTCGGCTCTCACGTAAGCCGAAGCAGAGGGGAATGGGCAGCACTTGAACTCTTTTTCAAGCAGGTACATGAAATAGAGCAGATGTATCATGATCTAAACTGCACTGCATTGTCTAATTCCCCATAGTCTGTGCAAGAAGTTGGGGTGCAGAGCTTGACTGGACACCTCTTCTCCCAGCAAGACCCAAGTCTGCTGTAGTTGAACGCTCGACACGGGGCGGATTGGGGGAGCAGTGACAAATTTGCTTCCTTGTTTTTGACAGCGAGAACTCTGCGTGGGAATATTAGGTAACTTGCCTAAAGTTGCGCAGAAAGTCTGTGGCAGCGCCACAAGGATAAATCAGACTTTCCAAATTATAATCCGGTGGCATAAATCTGAGGCTGTCTCAATGTGGGATTGAGCAGTGCCTGAGGAAATGTGCCTTTAAAATGCATCCTTGATGGGCTCATACCTGCTGTTTGGCTTTGTGTAACAGATAGAGTTTCATGCTGAGTTTTCACGTCTTGGTTCACTGTCCAAATTACGTGCTGGCACAGAAGGCACTGCTGCTCTGAGCAGCTGACAGAACTGGAGCAGTGATAACTAGACATCTTGCCATCATTTTGCTTTGCAAAAATAGTGACCAGCTTTGGCCAGACTTCAGGTTCCAGTAACTCTTTCCAGCAAGCTATGTGGGCTGTGCTGGAAAAGCATGTTAACCATTTCAGGTCCCACTGGGTTGAGTAGCAGCACTCAGCCTGAACGGTTGAAGATGCTGATGGACAAGGGGTTAAGGGATTTATTACCAGACTCTCTTAGGCAAAGAGAATTAGCAGATGAAAGTGAGCCGCTTGCCTTTTATTTCTGTGTGCGAGTAACCACATCATCATTGCCCGATTTGTTTCAAGGCAGAGCCTAATTGGCAGGTGAACTGAGCAGAGCCCTGTAGCTGAGTTTCCATTTTACTGCTTTAATGTTTTAAAAGCTTTTAAGTCCTCAACAATCGTGTCTTTTTCTGTATTTTAAATGTGAAGCATGCTCTAATGCACGCGAAGTCGATCAGAAGTAATCTGGTTTGAAACTAAACACAAACTGTTTTTTTGTGGTAAACCCGGGCCTTATTTGGCACGGTTTTGATTTACAAATAAATGGGGTGCTTCTTGGAGAGGTGGGGGAGGAGGAGTGTCCCCGCTTCCTTTCTGCATCCTCTCGTGCCAGCCCCTGCTTTACTGCGTGGCTCTCCTGGAGGCTTGCACCGCAGGTCACCACATTGACCTCGTGTGCTCGGTTCAATGGATTTCCCAAACCTGAGATGTGCTGGGTGAGGACATGGCTCAGGAAAGCTCCGCTTACCACACCTCTAAGGGTGCTTGGTGCTAAACCTCCAAAAGCGTGTGCTTTGCTGCAGCAGAAGGTGGAGGTGTTGAATGGGACCATCCTGGGACACGTGCCCAGCTGTGATCTCGACAGCGTCAGCAGCTGCTGCTGCTTCCGTTCCACTGTGCTGGCAAACAAATTTGGGGCTGCTCTTTGATAAAACTTTTGAGTAAGCTTGCTGAAAAAAATGTCAGCACAGACCATGTTTAAATCATCAGGGAATGATGAAGCACGTGTCTTTCGCTGCCGTCCTTCAGGATATACTGAAGGAGTGAGGTCTCTTCTCTCTTAATCCACTATAAAGAATTAAAGGTTTATTGGGGTGGAGGCTGAAACCCTGTAATCTATTCTCAGGTGAACATTGGAGTTGGCCCTGCTCTTAGTTGGCTGGGGTGGACCTGAAGACCTTCAGAAGTCTTTTTAAATCTTAATTATACTGTGACTTTATGAATGGTAGGAGTCATTTCATGTATCACTGGCTGCTTTATGTATTTATATGTATATTTGTAGATATAAAATACATGCAGAAGAAGCTCAAAGGAAGGATTGATGTAGAGGTGCCTCTGAGCTTCCCCTTTCCAAGTAGTAAAGTTACTTCTTCAGGAGAGGCAAGACCTTATTTCAGACCCGTGTCCTGAATTGTATCCATGATAGATCGGATCATGTAATTTTTTCTTTTTGGTGCGTATCCTATACACGTCTACCACCTCCAGTTTGGGGAATTCAGCCTCTCTTTCCTGTTACAGTGAAAGATCCCAAAGTGTTTCATTTGGAATAGAAACAGAGGAGGGTTTAGCTTGTAGTTTTGGTAAGAACAGAAAAAGGTAGATTAAGCTTGATCCATGGTTTGTTTTGTATTTTTGCTTTGGCAGCCAAATTGCAAAACCAGTTATTCACAGAGCCGTGTTTCTAGCTGCTTGTGATTTATGGAAAGAGCTGAGAGATTTTTTTACGAGATAAATCTCACTACTGTGGCTGACGTCCAGCTTTAGTCAAAGCATTTTGTCTGCGTAAAATTCCCCCTGCCATTCCAGCCAGATAGGATATTCCTAGCTGCTTTTCTCAAACCAGTAACTTGCCTAGCTGCAAACGATGGGACTGCTGCAGAGCTCAGCCCCGCGTGGGGGCAAAAGGGCTGCTGCTGTTTCGCAGCAGCCTTCTGGGACCTGATGATGCAGATTCTAAAAGGAACACAAGAAAACAAAACCAAAATTAAACTTGTATAAAGTATAATTCTTTTCCCTTATTTTATCAAAAGCCACAGATGTACTTTGTTAGACAGGCTGCTGTCTTCAGTGGCGTTCCCTGGATGTTCATGCACCACAGCAGTCAACGTTGTGGGGTAGTGCTGGGGTAATTTGCTTTCCTGGAGACTCTTATGGCAGTTGATTGGATAAATTTCCCTTCTTAAGCAGAGTGGGGATACCCTCGCGGACCCATCTGTGGATGCCTAAGGCAGCAGATCACGCAGGCCAGCAGAGACAAGCCCTTCACGATCTGAAGCGACTGAGGAGCTGGATTTCCAGTCAGGATGATACGGTGCTTCCAGATCTCCCTCTGATACACCTGAGGGAAGGCAGCTGAGACTTGCCTGCCAGGCAGGTGCTTTCAGTTCACGCAGCCAGGCTTGTTAAGGGAGTAGCCACAAGAGGGAAGAAAAGGCAATGCTATAACTCATGCCTGGGGCTGCTGCTAAAAGGAGCCAGTGTTACAGGGTAAGGAGCTAAGACTGATTTTTCTTGTGTTGTTTGGATCCCTGCTCTTGGACTGGGTTGTGTCAACTGATGAAAATTAAAGATGAGTAGGCCCCGTAAGTCAGCGTATGGTATCGTGACGGATGTCTCCTAGCCTTAAGAATGCATCAGCCTGGCTTTCTCCTTTCCCTTCAGAGGCTCCTGTGCTGTTTGGACCAGTATCTAGCGGCTTTTTCAGGCAATAGGGTCTCCTTCTCAATCTTGGAGTAGCTCAGGGTGTTTACTTACAGTCCCGCATACGAACAGTGATTTGCTAAGTGTAGTGTAAACCAGTTGATATGTAATATAATGCTCGCAGCCTGGAATAGAGCTGTGGCCAGTGCATCTGTTGTTTCTCATCTCGGGTACAGCCTGAGCCTCTTGGCTGCCTTGGCGTCTGTTCATACCACACCACCCTCTCTAGTCCCTTGAAAATTATTTGTTTGGTTGCCCAAGTCTCACTTTTTCCCTTCTGCTCCATCCAATGACACTTCTTTCTTTAGTGGGCTGTAGTAAAACAGCGTTTTTCTGTCCTTTGACCTGGTCCCTGCCTAACCTTGCTACGCCTTCAGCCACGTGATCCCCTCCTGGCTTTGCACCAGCCGTGCTCTCCGCATCGGCTCTCAACGTGCACAACATCTCAGGACAAGCTACTCCTCTAAGATACAGACGTACCAAGGAGAAACTAACAGAAGCAGCAAAAAGCTGATGTTTACACTGGTTTTTTTTTGTTTGTTTTGTTTTTTTTTTTTTGTTTTTTTACTTCTAATTCATTCCCTCCTCCCTCCATACAACCCTGGCATTTCAGATTTGATTTTTTTTCTGGTCTTTCGTTCATTGTTTAGTTCATCTCAGTTCAGCTCACGGGAGCAAGACCTGTGTCTTTTCACCAGCGTGCTTCAGGGCCGACTCCAGCAAGCGATTTGGTCCTTTCAAGCAATAAAATAACTGATTGCCATGGGTCTGTTGCAGTTCTCAAAGAACCGGCCGGTCGCTTGCTGAAAGCTCTCAGTCTTTTCTTCTGACAGATACTAAAGAAACTGAAGGGCCTTGCCTTGGAGACAGAAGCCGAGCTGGAGAGACAGGACGAAGCCCTCGATTCCATCACTACCTCCGTAGACCGTGCGACGCTGAATATTGATAAGCAGAACCGTAGAATAAAGAAACTAACGTAGCACCCGCAGGAGCCACTGGCGATGGTATCATGAGGAAGAGGAGGCTCGGGGAACTGTATTTTTCCAAGACGGTTTCTTTAATAGGCACTTTGGTTGCATGGGAGGTGTTTGCAATACGGTCTGGAATACGATGCTGCTGTTGTTGAGTTCCTGAGGGTTTTGAAAATGTTTCCAGACTTGGATGATGTTTGAAGGCTGTTTTAGGATTAAAAAGGGCAAGATTTTTAATTGCGGTGAAACAATGATAGTGGATTCTTTACTACAGAAAAACTGTAAATATGAAGGGATGTGATATAATCTGAATCAACTTTTATGTGCTTTTTTACGTTGCTGCTTTTAAAAGTTGTTTTTTTTTGTTGGTTTTTTTTTTTTTTTTACTGCAATGAAGAAGTGAAGGAGAAATGAACTGCATATGAGACTACTTTAGATGATTACAGCCTATTAATTCTCTCTCAAGGTCTTTCTTTAAAATAGTTAATAGCAGAACTAAGGGCCAGATGTCCAACTTTAAGTCACTGAAGCTTTTTTTTTTTTTGTAAGTTAATGCTGAGGTGAGCAAATGATGCTGATAAAACCCTGTGTTCCCTGAGCAAATAGTTTTAATAGGTTTGAATCGTGCTTTTTAACGTACCCAGAAATTTTATAAGAGTAATGAAGACTTAGTGGCCACAGCTGTCTGTTGCCATGTCCTGGGAAATCAAGAGAAGGTTAGTTAACGTGCATGGATTGGTAGAGACATCTACTTATTGAGCAGATTTTTTTTTTTTTTTTTTTTTGGCCATTTGATAAATGTTTTGCTTAATTGAGCCACTTGTAAAAAGTAAGTGTCAAAGTTAAATACATGCTTCTGCTTTCCAAGAAGGGGCTGCTGATCGTCGACCATCATCTACACAGTTTTGTGTGTCTTCTTTTTCCCCTTTAAGCTGCACCCATAGTGAAGAAATTGATTTTGGAGCGGAGGAAGCGATTTTCTTCACAGGTGGATTGATTCCATTCTTGGAGTTTGCTCTTTGTATCCCTCACCTGCACACAGTGGTTTTATATTTTTGGTATTAGTCTGTCATGGGATGCAGCGTCCTCAGAGCATCGTGAACTTAGCGTTTGCTTAGGGTGGTCCTTCAATACCGTGTTGGAGCTGGGCTGCCACATCTCTGATAGATGTTAGTGAAAGGTCTCTTGTCCCTTTGCTTCTCTGCCTTTCATTTTTCCAAAGGTCTCCCCACCGTTGGCCTCCAGCTCTCGAAATGGGAACTTCATGGGTTGTGGGGGTTTTTGTGTGTCTGCCTCAGACTCACAGGCTGAGGGGCCTGTGGTCGGAGCTGTAGGCATTTGTATTAACGGTTGATAGTCGTGGTAGGATCTATCTGTCTCGTGGCTTTTATTGGTTTGCACTAACTGGTGGTGAAGCATTTCAAGACTTCTTGCAGACCCGTATTTCTAAAATAAAAGGGAATACTGTCAGTTTTGTCTGATAGGTTTTGTTGAGTTTAGAGTTGGCTCCATCAAGACTACAGGACAGTGGGAGACCTTTTCCACCCCAAACTTCACACCGTATAGGAGAGGTTCCGGGTAATCTATGTATCTATCACCTATGGCAGAGAACTCACATTTCATCAGTTCCTATGGTTTACCAGTTATTTTAGTTCCAAGTAGCTATTGTAATATGTCTTTTTTTTTTTTTTTTTTAAAGTGTTTTTATATTAAAAAAATTCTTGTATTGCTTTCAAATACAACACTTTTGGTGCAATATTTTTAACTAGTGAAGCTTTTAACTGTTTATTCCACTAATAGTTGATGTGAATTTTTCCTGTTTCAGAGTAATTCAGCCTACCTTTTAAAGAATGGTACAGTAAATCACATAGAGTATGTTGCTTTCAGGATCTTACTCTACGTTGTTTTGTATTACTTCATATTAGTTTGTTAGTATTGGAGTAAAGTGTACTTCTGCACTGCAAGTTCTTAATTTACAGTCCAAGTTGTTACTGGCATGCACTTTACCTACTTGCTGAATATGGTTGATTATATATAACCTACATTATGTACTGGGAAATAAAATATTGTCTGGGGTTCTTTTGTTTGTTTCCAATACCCAAATCACTATTGTTTTACTGTGAAAGGAAAATATGTTTACACAACTAATTATTTAATGAATTTTAAAGTATACTTTGCGCGAAATGTATGTTAACTGAACCTGGTGCTGACTGGGAACGAATCTCTGACATGAATTAGTCCAAACCAGGATTGCCAAAAGTAAATACTAATTACACATCATTTAGTTTAGCATTCTTTGTGCCATACTTTTTATTGTTGTGGGTTTTAGCACTAGCTGTTGCCTCTGATTCAGTATTTCGTGCTTTGTGTTAATCCAACACGTCCATGCTAAAGCAAAAAATTGTGATATTGTTTGTAAGAAGTTACCCTTTCTTGAGCGGCGTATTAGCTGAATTTCATGTGCCCGGAGGACTTTCAATCTGTAATTTCTTCTTATTAAATATCTTGGAATAGCGATATTCTCTCTTGTATTCACTTGGCTGAGAAAGTGGCAGTGAAAAATACTTACCCACCCCTTTGTCATACTGTGGAACAGAATTTAATGTAGCACTTCTTGTAGGGCTGGGCTTTAGGATAGACACTTTTTTTTTTTTTAAAAAAAAAAAAAAAAAAAAAAAGGGGTGGTGGTGGGAGAATATTAACTGGTAGAATATTAGGAATGTGAGTGTCAGCTATCCTCGGCTGGACAATGAAGTGGGGGAATGTCAGCACAATGTACTCTGCCCTGGGGACTGCGGCACAGGAGCTGCTCCAGCTCTTAGAGAGTGAGTGGGCTGAGAACCGCTGGATGTGTCACGATTTGAACAGCTTATTGATTGGTACACGAGTATCAATATTTTACTCTGATCAAGACTTACTGTGTAATAACACAGCTTCTGTTGTTGCCAGAAGTGCTTCTGAGCCTCCTCAGTTCCCTTCTACCTGAAACCCAAGCACCGTTACGTTCCAAATAATGTTGCAGATCTGGACAGATGCTCCACGGGGGAAGACGCAGCAGGTAACGTGTGCCAAACAGTATTCTCGTGCTTCGTTCTTCACTGACATGATTGTTATCCCCATGAGGCTCAGAGACATACTTCTAGGATAACTTTTGCCTTTTATATGCACAGTTTGTTAGTTCTTTGCAGGTCTTTTACTACAATGTGAAAAGCGAGGGGCTTTGTTACTAAGGGATACAAGAAAAAAAAAAAAAAAAAAAGTAATAAAAGAGATTCTGACCTAAAAAATAAAAAGATTTTACTTGGGAAGGCTTTTCAGCTCCTACAAAACAGAACTAGATTTTACTGTATCATATGGTGGGCTTATAATCCGATGTGTGTTTGTGGTTCACAGTGATGAGTGAGCCTGAAATGTCTGGAGCTTAAATGTATTTCTGCATAGGAGTTTGAATGTCTCCTGTGGAATCACTGAAACGTTGGTAATAAACATGGCATTTTGCAATCCTCAGACAAAGTGGTGTAAGGAGCTTTTTTCAGGCAATTAATTAATCTACCCAAAGCCTCATAATAGCTGTCTGTGTTTCCAAAGCCAGTGCTTTGAAACCTCTGGTATGCTCTTCACAGAAGGAAATGGAGCAAAGCTGCTCGCAAGTGTTGAAGCCTGCCTCTGGGAAGAGTGCTTGGGAGAGGAATTGGCTGTATTTACTTTTTAATCTGACAAACCATGGCAGCAGTATCCCTTCCCTCTCCTCGCTGTGTGTGAGCCGTGTCAAACCTCAGCCTGCTGGAGGGGAAAAATAATTTTGTAACGGTCCTAGTCATAGGCTTGTGTCAAGTGGTTTAATTTAAAACCAGCGGATTTGAACCCTTTTAGGGTTTGGCAGCAGAGGGGTTAAAGTAGCTCAACACCAAAATTAAGATGCTTGAGGTCAGGATTCTGGCTTTTTTTTTTTTTTTTTTTGATTGTTTCCTAAGCATTTAATTAGATCCTGGATCTAATTAAACCAAATGGATGATGCTCTCATAAGCTTTTGCGTTAGAGCCAGCAGTACACCTTGACCATTCCAGCCTGATGCAGCTCCCAGAATGGAGTTAAGGCTTAAGATTTCTGGTTTCCAAAGGGTCCTTGCCTGGGTGTTAGCCACGTGTGCTGCTGTGCTCAGCTTTCCTGCTTAGAACTGTGGATTTGGGGCAGCTTAGAGAAAAACAAAAAACCAAAAAACCTGGAGCTAGAACTACTCTGGCTTTTTTTGACAGCTAAACCACTGAACCATACGGGTGCTCATGGGGGTGAGACAGTAGTAAGGAAGTGGGAGAGCAATGGGGGTTTTGCCTCTCAAAAAGATGGTGTAGATTTGGGTGTAGACCCTGGTTTTGCTGGTTGAGTATCTTGCTGACAGCACAGAACGAGCTTTGGTGGACGGGGTCATATCAGGATGGAGGGGGGAAACAGTCCTTGAGATTTCTGGAAGAGGAAATTTGCTGTGCTGGGTGGGATGGGAGTGCTTCCGAGAGGAGAATGAAACCTGAGGAGGAAAATCTGCCCTTCGTATGACTAGGTTTCATTGCTGGCACTGCTACAGGCTGCCAGCTGTGCGTATTGCTTGGGATTTAATTCACATCCTCTCTGTTGGACTTTGTGCTCGCTTTGGGCGTGCTCCCTTTGTATCAGCTGAAAACGGGGCTCTTTCCTCTTGGTGTTTCATTTGCTTATCTGTAACATGGCAATATCACTGTTTCTCATCTACTCAGTACCCTAAATCATCCTGAGTCTTAACTGGTGTTAAAAAAGCCCATCCTAGTGTGGAGCTTCTTTTGTAATTAGGGGAGCAAACCCAGCGGTACTGGGTACTATAAACGAATGCTGAGCCCACTGGAACCTCCCTCTGGAGCATGAATTACTGGTCCCACCATTTCACAGGTGATGGGAACAGAGACACCAGCCCGTTGACAGATTCAAGGATCAGCCTGCAAGGAGGACTAATCCACAAACTGTATTTAAGCCTCTGAAGCCATTCAGTTAGGAGCAGGACCATCTTCTAACACTCGGTGAGGCTCCTGAGGCTTTTCATCATTGTGTGGCGTTTATCCTAGGCTTGTGAAACACTTGCTGCTTAAAACTTTGCTTCTGGTTTAGACGATGAGTATGTGAGCTTCGGTGCCTAACGTCTGCGAGGGCTGCTTTAGTCCTTTTGAGAAAGAAAGACCTACTCGGAAGCCTTCTGATTTCTTCCATATGGCACATGGTTTTAATGCGATGCTTTGTGTGGTGGTGGATGTTGTTTCCAGCCATGAGAACGCAAACAGAGGCAGGAGAGGGTAATTGCAGGTAGGCAGCGATGCCGAGGGCTCCCTTCCGTGATGGCATCTCCACCAAGCCAAGCTGCTGAACACCAGAGGCTGGAAAACTAATCCGTGTTCGGCGAAGTGGTTTCCAGGACTTGAATTCTCCCTTAGGAAATGAACCTCTTGGGCCGCCTCCACTCTTTTGCTTGTAACTTCTGCGTAAGAAGCAAACCACACTAAGGGCTTGCATTTTTTTTTTTTTTTTTCATCTAATAGTCTGTATTAATCATGTGTATTTAACACAGGGTTTGGGCTGAGTTTTTGACTGGGCTTTCTGGTTATGCTGCATGGTGAATATTGGAGGGTGTATCAGCTTTAAATCGTCTCCTGGCATTCATAAAGTTGTGTAAAAATCACTGCCTGCATTGGGCAGAGGTGGTAACAGGTATTGAAATTGGTACGGACCATTGTGAGGCCTCAAAAGTCATATTTACCTAAATAGACCACATGGTTTTTAGCACGTTGGTTTGCCAAGCCTTTACCTTTAGCTAAACCAACTCTGAACTGGAAATGACTTTTTATAGGAAGAGGGAATCAAGGTACCAAAGTGCCATTAAGTGATGATGGATGCACCAAACTTCTTGATCACCTTTTCTGCTCCCTGTGGTTTCAGAGGACTTGCAGCTCTGACAGGTTTCACAGGAAGCTGCCTAATTCTGGACACTCATGGCCAAGATGATATTTTCACTTTTCTCATTGGTAATCCTACAGCACACCAATGCCAAGCAGAATTGCAGCAGCATCTTCCTGGCTAGAAAGCTCATATCCCATCCCGTAGACCACAAGGAGAACACTTTTCCTTCTGTTCCTTGATCATGTTAGATTGACTTTAAATGTAATAGGTATCTTACTACTTGCTAATCAGTACGCTGTCTGAAATGCAAGCTTTTCAGGAGACAGTGTTTATAATGAATGCCTGTATCTCTATGCTTTCATAACTGCTAGAAATGATGTTGTGGTGAATTTCTGTTTCCATACACATCAAGCGTTCAGCTTGACAACTGGATCCAGTTCAATTTTGAACTGCTTAATAGATTCCAGCCTTTTCCTGCTGCACTGTGGGTGGAAATAAATGACAATCAGATCCCAGGTTTCCTGCCACATTTTTCTGTCCAGTTTCCCCTCCTTCCTCCTGAAATGAAAGAGCCGGATCTTGCACCCTGGTGGTAAAGCAAGCCAAGGAGCTATCTGAGGGTGTTATGCTGTGAGCTCTCAAGAGGTCAGCTGCTTGACTATCCATATTTATATATTCTTATGCTGTGGTAAATGTCATTTTTACCTTTATGCCGCTTGATGTAGACAAAGATGTTTGCATTTGATGGGATAAGCAAGCACGTACAACTACCTTGGAGCTGCAGATGTGCCCTGGCTCATCTTACCTTGTGTAGAAGGTGTCGAGTCCCAGCCAAATCCGTGATGTATCAGGTAAGGATCCTTTTCTTAATCCAGCGCCTCTTTCCCCATTTATGGCAAGAACTCATAGAAGGAAGTACGGGAAGGAGGAAGGAAAAGAACTGGAGAAAGGAGAACATGGACATGGATGTTGAAGGGACCATTTCTGCAGCGTCTTTTCTCAGGTTGAAAGGCTCCTGCCAGAGTCACATGCTACCTGCTCGTAAGCTCAAGCCTCCAGTGCCATCGATGCAACTACCCGTTTACACATGACCAGGTAATGATTTTCACTCTTTCTTAAGGTGTGTGAACATTTTGGATTTTCTTTTCTATTTTAACCTTCAAGCCCTGTTTCGCAGCCAATGGAAAAGGTGTGCTGTTCCACACCGGCTTTTCTTGCAGGCTAGTTGGTTCCTGCTAAACCTATGGACAGTTCACAGCACAAATATCTTTACAGTCCTCAGTAGCTTAATCACCTTTTCTCTTCTTGTTTATAATTTCAGGCTGTGGCTTCATACCTTGGGCATTTTATATAGAGCATCTCCCATCCAGTGCTCTCACTCTGCCAAGCTAATCTTCATAAACAGCCTGATGAAGAGGAAGACTGTTTGTTCCCAGGAGAGGAAGGAATTTCTGAGTGTAAAGTTGATAAATCAAGAGAAAATTATATCCAGTCACAGCTTGATCAGAAATTTCCTGTGGGATCTTCCCTCTGTATTGAAACGTTGTGTGCCTCGATTCTCCCAGGGTCAGCTGGGTCTTATAATTCATTCTTAGCCT